CAGGCTTGTGTCCCCAAAAATGCTGAAAATGACCTGCTTCCCTTTCGGGATTTTCTTCTATTTCCAAAACACCAAATGGATTTCAATGAAAAGTCACGATGGGACCAGGAGCATCGGGACGCTCGTTCCGCCCGTCAAGGGGCCCTGTGGCCACCGACCCGGGTCCAGACTGCCGCTGTGCCCTTCCGCCCTGCAGTTTGCTAATCTTTTTATACTTGTGTGTTCCACCAATTTCGGAGGTGAACCCGAGTGGAAATAAAGCATTCTGGTTTGTTTGAATAACTAGCACTTCCAACTGGTTGGCTCTGGAGTTTTTTCAAAGACTTAGCATCACTCAGGTCACCCTGGAGAAACTACAGCAGGCGGCTTGGTAAACGGGTGACCTTGGGATGACCTTGGCAGGGAGGGGCTCCGCACAGTCACTGAGGTGCAGAACGCACTGGCAACAGGGAGAGAATAAAGTGCAAGAGAATCAGGAGGACGGACCCTGGTGGGCGCACAAACGGCCAAAAGAAGGGGACGGGGCTCTCCTACTGGGCGTGAGCATGAGACGGGGACGCCTGGGGGTCGCCCCGCAAGGACACGGCTCCTCCCCATTTTATCAGTGAGAAACCAACTCCAGGGCACCTGCCCAGGGGACACAATGGAGAGGGGTCTGCCCTGGGGACCAGCCCGGCTCTGCCCACTTTCGGAAGTCCAGCTCCTACTGTCTCCCGGGGTCTCCCCGACCCCACCCCCATGCTCCGGAGCTGCACCCAGTTAGTGCCACACTGTCCTGCTTAGAGGGCCGGTCCCCAGCGAGGGCAGCAATGCTTGATGAATGACAGGAGTCACTGGCCGGCACCCAGCCCGGTGGACTGAAGACTCCCACAGCCCCCAGAGGAGGAGGACAAAGCTTGCAATGATTCCAAGGGCCTTGCAAGAAGAGGCGGCGGGCCTGGACAGAGCCTGCAGGGCGCTTGCTTCCCAGCCACAACACGGTGTCCAATGCAGCTTTTTCTAGGGGGACACACGGGTGTGGGGTTTTGCCTTCCGCAGCTGTCACCACGTAACTTCGTGGACCTGTCACTAGGTGGCAGTGTTGTGCTGCTTTTACTCTGTCATCCTGCGAGGCTTCTGCCCACAGCTCACCCACGATGCCAGGGACGTCCACCCCTCCCTCGCGCTCTGTATGGAGTCCAGAGAATGTGACAATGCCTGGAGCTGTGCCGATCTGAAGCCAGGAGCCAGGAGCTTCTTCCAGGTCTCCCACGTGGGTGCAGGGGCCCAAGGACTTGGGTCATCTTCCACTGCTTTCCCAGGCCACAACAGAGAGCTGGATCGGAAGTGGAGCAGCCAGGACTTGAACCGGCGCCCATATGGGATGCCGGCACTGCAGGTGGTGGCTTTATCTGCTTTGCTAAGGCGCCAGCCCATAACAAATCTTATACAAATAAGCTATGTGCCCTAACCATGTGTCTTATTTTCTACACAGCTGGGGTGCACTGACACTGCCCCTCCCCAGGGTGTGGATTTCTAGAGGCAGGAGCCTGCCTATGAGTCCAGAACCAATCCTGAACCACGCCCAGCCCCTCTGCGATGGCGCTCACACCCAGGCCACTCTCAGCGGCTCTCACCTCCCCACGGCAGCTGCAGGACCCCAAGCCAGCCCCTGGGGAAGCTGCTCAGCTGGCCACCCTCAGCTGCCTGGCCCTGCCTCCCAGAAACCACACCGAGGGCTCCTGCCCCTTCCCACGCCCTGCTGACCAATGACGCGTCCCCATGTGTGAGCCCGCCCCTGCTGCGGGGGTCAGTGTGTGGAAAGCTGCCTCCTTGGGGACAGTAGCGGCTATGTCTGTGTGCCTTGCACACACTGTTAGTATATGTCCGAGAGAGCGAGCGAGAAACACGGCGCCCATCAGCCAGCCCTCTCCCCAAAGGCCCACAGAGCCACCAGCTGGGCCTGAAGCCAGGGCAGGAACTCAGTTCAGGTCCCCCACACGGGGCTGAGACCCCAGTCTTTGCTTCATCACCACAGCCTCCCAGGCACGCGGGCGCAGGAAGCGGGAGCCTCCAGTAGGGGGCGTCAGGGTCTTAACCACCAACCCCCACGTGTTGTGCCGGCTCATCTGACTCAGTTCACCCATCCAGCCCCCATCAAGGCAAAGTCTGGGAACTGACCGACGTGGCGCCCCTCATTGCCTGGGGCTCCCCGTGCTGCCCGGGCCAGCCTCCGCAGGGACGCCTGGGAGCTGTGGCTATGGATCCCGGATTTCCGGAGACTCTGGGACATGCTCAGGTGTACAGAGGGGAGGGAACTGGGGGTCCCTGCGACTTCCCTTGCAACCCCCAGCCTGACCCGCTGTGCACAGAGCCCTGGCCCTGCCCAGACTTGGACCCCAGACCCAGCTGACCCGGCCTGCACCCCCCCGACCCCCGCCCTCTGGCCAGCTGGTCCCGAGCCGTCCGCCCAGGGCCCCACGTCCTCAGCAGCTTCCAAGCGAGGTCCCGGGGCTGGCGCCATGGTACAGCAGGAGCTGGGACAGAATCCCAGGCTCCACCCTGCGACCCTGGATCCACCACAGGTCATGGGCCGTGTGCTCCCGGTGGGCCTGCATGGGGCTGCCCGCCCAGCTGCCCCTGCCTGGGCCCTGTCCTGGGGTCAGCCGGCCCTGAGCCACGTCCACCTGCCAGGTTTCTTCCCAGGCCCTGCAGGGTCACGGGGCAGAGCCGTGTCCTCAGCGGCTTCCGAGCGAGGTCCTGGGGCTGGCGCCACGGTACAGCAGGAGCTGGGACAGAATCCTGGCTCTGTCCTGCGTCCCTCGGCCACACGGGGGCAGCAGGGGCTGCAGTGCGTGGCCCGCGGAAGCAAAGGCCTCCACAGCTGGGCAGGAGACGCAGGAGGAGCTCCCGGTGAGGGGAGACAAACAGTCGGCCCGCAGCCCAGCGCCCCGCAGCACGGCGGGTCCCCGTGACGTGCCGAGACGTCCCCTTTATGTCCCTGTGATGTCCTTGTGATGACCCCATAAAGTCCCCACAATGTGCCCGTGATGTTACCGTGGGCCCACGTCGGGAGCGGACACTGCTGCACCTGGGGATACGGGTTCCTGCGAGGCCCTGCGCACCACGTTTCCTGCCTGGCCAGGGTGCGGCCAACCACTTCCTGCCCCAGCTCACACCCAGTGGGCCGGGGCCTCCGGGGGGCACCACTCCCAGCACGGGAGCCCGGGCCTGCGGAGGCCACTCTGGGGAGGCTGCCCGCCCTCTCTGGCCTCCTCCCACCATGGGGCCTGGCACGCGGCGACATCGCCTGCAGAGGGCAGGCACCCAACACCAGGGCGCTGAGAGGCCGGGGGCAGGCAGAGGCAGCCACATGGACTTGGTGGGGAGCCCGCCCTGGGCGCCTGTCCACGCAGCCTGGGAGCTGGGGCACACGTGCAGGACGCAGGGCCGGGACGCGGGCAGTGAGGACGCACAGAGCAGTGCACTGGCCACTCCTGTCACAGATCCCATGTTGGAAAACGCCTCCTCCGCCCGCCAGCTGACTCGGGAGACGCGGATCTCAGCCAGGACTCGGAGCCCTCGGGCCTGCAGCAGTGGGGCGGGTGCAGCCGTCCGTGACCCCTCCCCCATCCCATGTGGGCCCCGGATCGAGTCCCCCTGTCCACTTCTGATCCAGCTGCCTGCTACGGCACCTGGGAGGGAGTGGAGGATGGCCCCAGTGTCCCCCTCCCACCCCATGGGGGACCCGGATGGAGCTCCTGGCTTCCCCCCGGCCCGGGCCTGGCTGTTGTGGCCATCTGGGGAGGGAACCAGCGGATGGAAGACGGCTCGCTCTGGGTCTCCCGCTCTGTGACTCTGCCTCTCAGATGAATAAATCTGTTTTGAAAGAATGAGATCCGCCTGGCAGCTGAGCGCCTGGGGACCCACGGGGGCTCCTGCACGTGAGCGTTTCTGGGAGGCCCAGGCGCCTGACGTCACACTGATGACCCCCAGTGCTCAGCCCTGAGCGAGGCCTGGGCGTGCAGGAGCCAGAGCCACCTCCACGCACCCACCGCACTCTGCACACGGACGGGGAGGGACGGCGCACTCTGCCCTGGGGGTGGCTGGTCAGCACAGGACCGGGTAGCTCGGCGGGTCCCGGCAGGTCACCCTGGGCCAACGGCTTCCCAGGAGCGCCGACGCCACGTCGCCCTGCAACCTCTACGCATCACAGGGGCAGAGTAACGGGGCGAAGCAGAACCCAGGCCACAGGGACACCGCTGACCATCCTGGTCCTGCAGCGTCCTGAGGCATGTGCCAGCGAGCAGCGAGGGCGGGGGGATGCCCAGGGCGGCCAGAGAGGGCGCCACCTCTGGGAACCAGGGCTGCTGCCCGGCTCAGCAGGAGCGAGGGCGGGGGGATGCCCAGGGCGGCCAGAGAGGGCGCCACCTCTGGGAACCAGGGCTGCTGCCCGGCTCAGCAGGAGCGAGGGCGGGGGGATGCCCAGGGCGGCCGGGAGAGGGCGCCACCTCTGGGAACCAGGGCTGCTCCCAGCTCAGCAGGAGCGAGGGCGGGGGGATGCCCAGGGCGGCCGGGAGAGGGCGCCACCTCTGGGAACCAGGGATGCTGCCCAGCTCAGCAGGAGTGAGGCCGGGGGGGATGCCCAGGGCGGCCAGAGAGGGCGCCACCTCTGGGAACCAGGGCTGCTGCCCGGCTCAGCAGGAGCGAGGCCGGGGGGGATGCCCAGGGCGGCCAGAGAGGGCGCCACCTCTGGGAACCAGGGCTGCTGCCCGGCTCAGCAGGAGCGAGGCCGGGGGGGATGCCCAGGGCGGCCAGAGAGGGCGCCACCTCTGGGAACCAGGGCTGCTGCGGGGCTCAGCAGGAGTGAGGGCGGGGGGATGCCCAGGGCGGCCAGAGAGGGCGCCACCTCTGGGAACCAGGGCTGCTGCCCGGCTCAGCAGGAGTGAGGGTCCTGCTCCGGGCTCAGCCCACTCCGCTGCCACTTCCAGGGGCCCCCGCCCCAGCACCCGGCACCCGGCAGAGGCTCACACGTTTATTACAAAGGAGGAGAGGCTGCCGGCGTCCCCACGTGCTCTGAGCTGAGCCGCGGTTCCAGAAGGGACAGCACGGGGGGGGGGGGGGGGTCTGGGCCGCCCGCTGCCCGGCTGGCAGAGCCCTCAGCCCGGGAACTTGGCGAGCCGGCGCCGGGCCTGGGCCAGCCGCGCCAGCCGCTCCTTCAGGAACCTCCTCTTGGTGCTGGTGTCGCTGCGCTCTCTCAGCAGCCAGCCGCAGTTCTCCTTGTTGTGCAGCAGCTGCAGCATGGACTTCTGCAGCTCCTGCCCGTAGGACTGCAGCACGAAGAACTGCACGAGCATCGGGACCAGGCTGGACAGGCGGCTGCCCGTCTCCTGCAGGGAGAGCGGGGGCTGCAGGGGCCGCCCAGAGCGCCCGGAGCAGGAGCGCCCCGGGGAGGCCGGGAGAGGGGAGGGTGGCCGGGCGGCTGCCCGCTGCGCTCCCAGCAGCTCCCTGAGCGTGCACGCGGCCGCCCACGGCAGCGCTGAGCCCGCTGGGCAAAGGGCGGGGGGCCGAGGGCCACAGCCCACCCCACCACCCGCCCACAGCCCCGCCCGGCTGACGTCTGCACCCGCAGGGCTGCTCCAGGCAGAGCCAGGGCCCTGGGGCTGGGGGAGGGGCCTCGGAGCCGCCTGCAGGCACACCCCAGGTCCCAGCCTCCCCTCCCCCTCCCCAAGCCCCCATGAAAGCGTCACCTCCCGGGTCGGGCCGTTCCAGGAAGCCCCTGGTCCCAGGCTGAGCGAGCTCTGCCCCCTGTGTGCCTCGGTTTCCCCCTCCAGAACCGGCCCAGGAGCATCAGCCCTGGGAGAGGAACCCGGCCATTCCAGATACAAAATCCATTAGGGAGCGGCCAGGTGGGCGAGGAGCTCAGCCACTGTTAGCAGGAGCTGGGACAGAGCAGAGCACGTGCGTTCCGTGGACAGGGCGGGGCACAGAGAGGAGCAGGTACTCCATGGACAGGGCGGGGCACAGAGAGAGGAGAGAGGAGCAGACACTCCGTGGACAGGGCGGGGCACAGAGAGGAGCAGGCACTCCATGGACAGGGCGGGGCACAGAGAGGAGCAGGGACTCCATGGACAGGGCGGGGCACAGAGAGGAGCAGGGACTCCATGGACAGGGCGGGGCACAGAGAGAAGAGCAGGCACTCCATGGACAGGGCGGGGCACAGAGAGAAGAGCAGGGACTCCATGGACAGGGTGGGGGCACAGAGAGAGGAGCAGGGACTCCATGGACAGGGCGGGGCACAGAGAGAGGAGCAGGGACTCCATGGACAGGGCGGGGCACAGAGAGGAGCAGGGACTCTATGGACAGGGCGGGGCACAGAGAGAGGAGCAGGGACTCCATGGACAGGGCGGGGCAGAGAGAGGAGCAGGGACTCCATGGACAGGGCGGGGCACAGAGAGGAGCAGGCACTCCATGGACAGGGCGGGGCACAGAGAGGAGCAGGGACTCTATGGACAGGGCGGGGCACAGAGAGGAGCAGGGACTCTATGGACAGGGCGGGGCACAGAGAGGAGCAGGGACTCTATGGACAGGGCGGGGCACAGAGAGAAGAGCAGGCACTCCATGGACAGGGCGGGGCACAGAGAGGAGCAGACACTCCATGGACAGGGTGGGGGCACAGAGAGAGGAGCAGGCATTCTGTGGACGGGGCGGGAGCAGCACACAGAGGAGCAGACTCTCCGTGGACGGGGCGTGGACAGGACACGTCTGCAGGGACACCGCTCAGACCCCTGCTCCGCACACACAGCTCTGGGGCAGCTGTGCCCAGGAGAGCGCCAGGCACAGAAGGACAGGCTGGGGGCTCCACCTGCAGCCAGGAGGACCCTGCAGAGAGGCCAGCCGGGGGAGGGGCATGGGGCTGGGGAGGGCGGGGCCCGAGCGTGGCTCTCAGGCTGGGCAGAGGCCACATCCAGGAGGCGGCCGGCGCAGGTGACGCCCAAGAACGTGGACCTGCTGCGGCCTGCAGGCCACGTCCGGGTCCAGTGCAGGGCATTTCACGGCGGTCCCAGCAGGAAGGACGGGGAGCCGGGCCCTGCGCTGGGGCGGGGAGAAGCAGCCACGCACGCCGCGGCCCCCCGATCAGCAGGAAGCAGTGTGACCTCGGCTTGGAGCCCTGCTGCTCCCTGCGGTCTCCCGCTGCAGCCTGGGAGCACAGACGGGCGGCTCGGCCTCAGCCCGAGGACGCCCACGCCGGCCTCTGGGGCAGCCCCGCCCCGTCGGCTGCAGGGCCCAGCGCTGGGGTGTGGAGCATCTGGTCACCCAGGAGGTCCCGGGGGTTCACCTGGCCGCACCCTCACTGCCCATGCACCCCCTGAGCTGTGCTGTGTCCCTGTCCCTGGCCACGTGGCCCAGTGGACAGCTGCCACCCGCAGGGTGCAGGGCCCGGCCAGGCTGCACGGAGACCTCCAGGAAGTCCCACCCCGGAGGAGAAGCAGCCCACAGGGCACGCAAAGTCCCCGCCTCTGCTGTGTGCCTGGCGTCCAGCTGCTCCAGAGGGGCACAGCCAGGGGTGGGGGATGGAGCTGGCGGTGATGCCCCCAGAGACGGGGCAGAGCGAGGCCCGCAGAGGCACCGCAGGAGGGCAGGAGGAGCCGCTGGCCCCGCGCTCCCAGGCTCACCTGGTAGTAGGCCACCAGGTGCTCGATGATTTCGGCCAAGGAGCAGGAGTCCTGGGAGGAGCCGAGTCCGGAGGAGGAGCCGCGGAACCTCTGAGACTTCTTCTCCTCCTCGGCCTCCGCCTCCCGGACCTTCTTCAGCGCGCCCCGGTACACCTGGTCCTGGCAGTAGACGACCTGCTCCACCCGGAAGTGCAGCCGGATCTCGCGCTCGGCCTCCTTCTCCTGTTCCAGGCGGATGTCCTCGATTTTGGACTGGGGAGGAGACAAGCACAGGCAGGGGTGGGGAAGGAGCCGGCCTCACGGGGACGCAGGCGCCCGCAGGGCCTCAGGCCAGGGCAGCCCAGGGGAGGGGACGCTGCGGTCAGTGGGGCTCCCCAGGGAGGCGTGAGGGGAGCAGACCCCGCCCCAGCCCCAGTCCCCGCCCCGTGCCTGAGCTGACCCTGCCCCATTGCCCCAGTCCTGGCCCACGTCTGAGCTAATCCCCTGCCTAGTCCCCCAGTCCCCGCCCTACATGTTAGCTGACCCCGCCCCAGCCCCAATCCTCACCCCAAACTTGAGCTGACACCACTGCAGCCCCCTCCCCACACCTGAGCTGACCCGCCCCAGCCCCCGTCCCCGCCCCACACCTGAGCTGACCCCGCCCCAGCCCTAGTCCCCGCCCCACGCCTGAGCTGGCTCCGCCCCAGCCTGGGCCCTCTGAGGACACTGCTCTCAGGCCTAGGACTCAGCCCGGTCCACCTCTCCTGTGGGGCTCGGATGCCTGCCGGGGAGGAGGCCACGGCCAGCAGGGCGTCCACAGGGAGGGGGTGGGGCCAGGGCAACGTCAGCCAAGTGCCCGGGACCCCTGCTGGGCTCTCTGTGAGATGCCTGATCCAGAGCATAGGGGACCCTTGGCCTAGGGGACACAGGTGTGTCCTCCGCCCCCCCACTGGGCTGACAGCCCCATGGTGGGGGAGGGTCTCCTGTTCTCACTTCACAGAGGAGGAGCCCCCAGGCCCCGCACCTGGGGGAGGTGGGGCCGTCCCCCCACACCCACCCTGGCTCTGGCGCTGGGGCCAGGGCCTGCCACAGGCAGGGTTTACCTTGGTGGTCTTGTGCAGGTTGAAGAACTCATGGAAGTTTCTCTCTGACACATCTGTGAAGGCGGCGCGCACCATGTCTGAGGGCGGAGGAACGGAGCCAGGAGGACCGAGCAGAACAGGAGGCCACAAAATGGTCAGAGACACCGTCCCCTGCCCCTGCCCCTGCCCCTGCCCCTGCCCCTGCCCCTGCCCCTGGGCTCAGGACCGCCTGGGGAGAGCCCGGCCCCTCCACCTGCCCGGGCCTGGCAGCTGGGCCCACAGCGTTCACCTAAGTCCACAGGGGCCCAAAAACGTGATGTCCCGTGGGCTCCCAGGGTGTCTGGGAGGGGCCACAGGGGCCTCACGGGACCCGGCATGGAAACAGGAGTTGGTTTTGCCTCTGCTGCACACAGACTTTACTCAGAACAGGCGCCGTCCATGAACTTGGGAAGACCCCGCGCTGGGGATCCTGCAGCCTTCTGGTGGGGCGGTGGGTCTTACACACCAGCTTCTGGTGTGCAAATGTAGACACCACATGCACCTGACACCTATGGGACCCGCCCACACCACACCCACCCATCCCCTGTGCAGCCTGCCCACACCACACCCACCTGTCACCTGGGTGACCCGCCCACATCACACGCACCTGTCACCTGTGTGACCACCCACACCAGACACACCTGTCACCTGTATGACCACCCACACCACACGCACCTGTCACCTGGGTGACCCGCCCACACCACACCCACCTGTCACCTGTGGCCCGCCCACACCACACGCACCTGTCACCTGGGCATTGCCCACACCACACGCACCTGTCACCTGGGTGACCCGCCCACACCACACACTCCTGTCACCTGTGGCCCGCCCACACCACACGCACCTGTCACCTGTGGCCCGCCCACACCACACGCACCTGTCACCTGTGGCCTGCCCACACCACACACACCTGTCACCTGTGCATTGCCCACACCACACCCACCTGTCACCTGTGCATTGCCCACACCACACACACCTGTCACCTGTGGCCCGCCCACACCACACACACCTGTCACCCTGTGCAGCATGTCCTGAGCCGGCAACTCTAGGGCTCTGATGTGCTGTTTCACAATCGTCTCAAACGTCTTAAAGTTCACAAATCCCGGCAGCTCTCGGCCACGGTACTGGTTTTCAAACTTCCACAGTTGGTTCCGGATGTTACTAGAACCTGCGTGGGAAAGAGCAGCTGTGAACTCCTCAGGCGATCGTCCGCGTTTCAGGATGCGATTCCACTCTGGGTCCGGGGCGTGAGAGTGCCAAGGAAACAGGAAGTCGGCCGAGCCCCAGACGGAGCAGTGCCTGGAGGTGCGGGGAAGACCTCCGTTCCAGGTCCGGTCCCTGTGCCCCAGGGCCGCAGGGAGAGGGCCCAGGCCGGGAAAGCAGCATAGACAAGAGCAAAACCGGCGAGACCTCGCCACGGCCCTGCACTGCCCCAGGTGCCGCCTGGGGCCAGGGAGCAGCAGGCACGGCCTTGACACTGGAACCCGTACACCTCGGGTGGGAACCGTCACCGTCACCACCTGACGACACGGCCATGGGCATAGCAGCTGCAGCGTGGACGCTGGACCCGGCCACCGTGGTAGGATGGTCACGGCTGAGGGACAGCGGCCCGGGCACAGCAGGTACAGCCATGGACACTGGACCTGGCCCACCGCGGTGCGTACGGTCACGGCTGAGGGGTAGTGGCCAGGTGTCAGCAGGTACAGCCATGGACACTGGATCTGGCCCACTGCGGTGGGTACGGTCACGGCTGAGGGGCCAGGTGTCAGCAGGTGCAGCCATGGACACTGGATCTGGCCCACTGCGGTGCGTACGGTCACAGCTGAGGGACAGCGGCCAGGGCACAGCAGGTGCAGCCATGGACACTGGACCTGGCCCACTGGGGTGGGTACGGTCACAGCTGAGGGACAGCGGCCAGGGCACAGCAGGTGCAGCCATGGACACTGGATCTGCCCCACTGCGGTGGGTACGGTCACAGCTGAGGGACAGTGGCCGGGGCGCAGCAGGTGCACTGCGTGATGGGAGCCCCTCTGGGAACCTGCGGTTCTTTTCACTCTCTGCTCCCCAGGGGGTGGAGGGACCCTGCAGGGCTGGAGCCTCCCAAGGGCCCCCTCCTCACCCCACCGAGTGAAGAACCGGGGCGGAGCCTGGCGCCCCCTGCTGGCTGGCTGGCGTCCCCCCAGGAGTGATCACGGAGGAGAAATCCCTACAGGAGCCCACCCGGTGCAGGCAGGAGAGGCCTTTGCTGCATTCAAGGCTGCACCCGGCGGCTCCACCCTTGGCCACGCCCACGTGCTCACCCCTGGCGGCCACCAGGACTCCCTGCCCATCTCGCGCTCCAGCCCCGGGAGCAAGGGCGCCTCTACCTCATCTCTATGGATTCGCCCATCTGGACGCTGCCTGGGGTGGCCCGGGCCCCAGCAGCCACGCCGCCTGCCTCCTGGGCCCCTGCAGACCCACGGTGCAGCTGCGCGTCTGCCTCCATGGCTGCCATGATGGAATCCCGGCAGCCACGTGCCGGGCTGGAGACCCCAGCAGGTGCATGGGGCCATGTCCACGGCATTGCGTCATCACACAGGCCTTGGGCTTCTGCTCCATGGGCCACGTCCACGGCACTGCGTCATCTCACAGGTCGTGGCTCCTGCTCCATGGGGGAGGACGGCAGCTCCCGCGGCCGTCTGGCTCCGGCCGGTCCATGGCCATCCTCTCTTGAGGGTCCCCTGCACTCAGACGCTGGCTGACCCGGGCCAGTGACAGGAACGGGACAAACGGGGAGTTTGTGTCCCTGGCTCCTCACTGCGCCCACCCTCACCGCCTGCGTGCATCTCCCTCTCGGGCTCAGCCCGCACCCCGGTCTGTGACTGCATTGCTGCTGTGCCCTGTCTCTGTGCCCCCAACTCCAGTGCCGAAACCTGACCCCCAGCGTGGTGGGGCAGCAGGGGCGTCTCTGGGCAGCGCTGAGGTCCCAGGGCTCTGCCCTCCCCAAGGGGACCTGCCTTGATCCAGGAGCCCCAGGGGCTCCCCTGACCATCCCCACGCAAGGACACCACCAGGGGGCGCTGTCTGTGGGGCGGGGCAGACAGAGCTCGCCCCAGACCGGGATCTGGTGGAGCCGGGACTGGGCCCCGCCAGCCTCCAGAACCGGCACCAGGGAGGCCCCGCCGTCCGCGATCACTGGTGACGGCTCTGGGCCAGCCCCCGTGAGCCGCGACACTCACCTGCCTTGAAATTCTTCTCGATCACGCTCTCCCATTTGCAGAACTCGGCCCTCAGCTTGGTGAACAGCCGGGTTTCGTTCTCCCGGACGACCTCCTCCCCTTGAATGAGGGCAGTGATGTCCTGATTAAATGCGTTGATTTTCTGTGGCGGGGAGAGGCATCGGGGTCAGCAGAAGTACACGCACACGCGTGGGCTGGTATGCACTGTGTGCACGCGGGGTGGGGAGCTGGGAAGGAGGAGGCTCCGCCCTGGGACCCACTCCCCTGACCGCCCGGGGGGGCCTGGGTGGGCTCAGGGCCAGAGCCAATGAAGGAGCGACCGTCTCCTGCAGGCCCCGCCTCCCGCGCCCAGCCCTCCCCTCCCATTGGTTCTCTGCCCTGTCCGTCTTGGAGGACTAGGCGGGCCTGCTGCACGCAGATCTGGGCCTTGCAGGCAGAGCGGGGCAGCTGTGGGCGGGCCGCGCTCACGTCAATCAGGAAGAGCAGCCTGTCGCTGTCGTCCTCGGGGATGTCCACGCCGAACTTCTGCAGCTCCTCCGTGCACTGCTCGTGGTTCTGCTTGATCTGCTTCTCCAACAGGGGCAGCGTTTTCTGCGGAGGGGAGAAAGGCCGGATGTGCCGGCGAGCCCGCGAGGGGGCGGGGCCCGGCTCCTCTGCAAGGGGCGCGGCTCCCCTGAGGGCGCCTCCCGCCCCCGGTCTCTCCCGAGGGGCCCAGGGCAGCCCGGCCTCCTTCCAGCCCCAGGCCCAGCTCCTGGCAAGCAGCTGGGCACCAGGCCCAGGCGCCCGCGTGGCTTGGAGGCCGCCCCAGAAGAGCAGCCACTGCCACGACCCGGCCACGGGAGCTCCTGCAGGCAGCACAGAGACCCCGTGTGGGGTAGGTCCTGGAACAGGGGCCCCCGGAGCCACTGCAGATCTGCAAACCTCAACAAGAAGTGGCCGGGAACTTCTGCTCCAGGCCTCACGGTGGCGCCAACAGGCCCAGCCTCCTGCTGCGTGAGCAGCCCTGTGGTGAGCAGGACTCCGGGGCCGTGGCACCCAGGACAGACCGGGCCTCAGGGCACTGGTCCAGAGAAGGAGACCTGAGCCTGCCCCGTCTGGACCCGAGCTGCTGCGGAAGCCCGGGCAGGGGCCGATAACCGAGCGCCCGCCTCCCACATGAGGGGGCCCAGGCAGCTCCCCACTCACTCCCGGCTCAGGGACATCGACCTGCAGTCCCGGGGCTCCCTGGCCACGCACGGAGGCCTGGAACTGTGGCCCAGCAGAGCAGAAAGAGCCCAGGCGAGCTCTGACCCACAGCCAGCCCCAAATGGCCAGTCGCCCACGTCCACCTGGCTGGGGGTCCCCAACTCCCCCCGCTGAGGACTGAAAGTGGGGCACACTGGCGGCTCCCCAGAGTCAGGCCTTCCCTCCTAGCCCCATCTTGCACCCAGGCTTCCAGGAAGGCCCCGAGGCCGGCACTGCAGCCCTGTGCCGGGCTCCGCCGGGAGAGCGCCCGCGCGTGCTTACACAGATGTGTTCAATCAGCTCGGTGCTCAGTCTCTCGGCCAGGCTGGGCACCGTGGCCCTGCCCTCCTCCAGAAGAACCCTGCACAGGACACAGAGACGGGGCCGGGTCGGAACCAGGCCTGCACAGGACACAGAGACGGGGCCGGGTCGGAACCAGGCCTGCACAGGACACAGAGTCGGGGCCGGGTCGGAACCAGGCCTGCACAGGACACAGAGTCGGGGCCGGGTCGGAACCAGGCCTGCACAGGACACAGAGTCGGGGCCGGGTCGGAACCAGGCCTGCACAGGACACAGAGACGGGGCCGGGTCGGAACCAGGCCTGCACAGGACACAGAGACGGGGCCGGGTCGGAACCAGGCCTGCACAGGACACAGAGACGGGGCCGGGTCGGAACCAGGCCTGTGCGGCCAGCGGGGGCTCGGCGCGCACCTGAAGTGGGGGTGCTCCTGGAAGAAGGCCCGCTCCCTCTGCAGGGCCTGCTCCAGGCTCAGCCGCTCCTGGATGTCCTGCTGCCCGCGGCACTTCACCACCGTGTAGCCCTTCTTCAGGTGGAACACGAGGTTCCGCGCCACGTCCACCACCTTGTCCTCCGTGCCCCTGTCCACCAGGTCAGGCTTCGTCAGGATGCCTGCGGGCAGGGACTTCCGGTCAGAGCCGCCCCGGGGAAAGCTCAGTGCAGGGCCGGCCGCGGGCGCCAGGGTTCCTCCCCGCCTGGCTTCCCGGAGATGAACCCCCGACAGCCTACAGGGAGAGCGGCAGGGGCCCCTGGAACAGGCTCTGGCCACGCTCCTTCCCATGGCCCCAGGACGGACAGGCCACCCTCTGAGTCTCCCCACTGGGCCTGCTGACGCAGGAAGACAGGGGCCACGCATCACCTGGGGCCCCCAGATGTCTGGGGAGCTGCTGGCCATGGCCTCCCTGGGCACCCTCAGCAGGTGCACCTGGGCAGAGCCGCGCCCCCACGCCGGCTCGCCTGGATTCCTGGGGCTCCCCCGGCACCCGCTCAGGCTCAGCCCCGCGCCTTCTCACCAATGGTCCTGTCCCCATCGGGGTCCACCTCCTGGGCCATGCTCAGCGCCTCGGTGGTGGCGATGTCCACGTTGCTGGGGACCACGACCAGGTTGATGGTCTCCTGCCTCTGGATGTATTTCCTGATGAGCGCCTTGATCTGCACAAGGAGAGAGGGGCCCCGCGACTCCGTGACGCAGCGACTCCCTGGGCCCGGCCGTGCCCTGGCCTCACCCAGACTCGCAGGGCGACACCTGCAGAGCCCTGAGCCCCGGGGCTCCTGCCCGGACGGCCGAGGGCCGAGCCTCAGAGACACCACGGTACTCGGCCCAGCCACTCTCCCCGGGACCAGCCTTGCGCTGCAAAACAGGAGCTGCACCCTGCTGCTGCCCTCTCCAGGTGAGGCCCTGGTGCCATAACCACGCCCACTGCTGATGCTCCTCCTCCCACAGGGCCCCGCCCCACCCCGCGTCAGACACAGCCCTCTGCCTCCAGCCACAGCCAGGCTGGAGAGCAAACCACGGGGCACAGCTCTGCCCTCGGCCCCACTTCCTCAGAGGTTCCCACTGAGCCGGGCAGAGACTGGTGACCACAGGCCCCGACTCGCCTCTGCCCTCCCCAGGCGCGCCCAGGCCCAGGGGGAAGGGTGCGGGTGTCTCACCTGGTGCCCGATGTCCGCGGGCTGGCCGCCCACGGCCACCCTGGTGATGCCGGGCAGGTCGATGAGGGTCAGGTCCGGCACGAGCGGGGAGCTGACCTCCAGGCTGATGAGCTCGGAGCTGATGCCCAGCCCCTCCCCGGCGATCACGTTCTGGGCTGCAGGAGGCACAGGGAGCGGCGGGGCTCGGGCTGGCACCTGCTCCCCTGGGAGAGGCCCCGCGGCTCCTGCCAGGGCCCAGGGCTGGAGAGGAGCGGGGTGCACACCTCGCTGTCCCCGGTCAGAGCCAAAGCCCCGGCACTGCTCCTCCGCAGGCTGACCCCTGGGGTCAGAGCCCAGTGTCCTCACAGCCCCCGGGGGTCCCGTCCTCGGGAGGGCGGGGAGGCGAAGGCTTCCCGAGACCCCCGAGTCCCCCCTGAGGTCACAGCAAATGAGGGAAAACCACAGGAAGCAGGGGATTCCCGACAGGAACTGCCAAGCTCCGCGGGGACCTGGCCTGCGTGGGCCCGAGCCACGCCAGGCGTCGCGGCCACGACTCGGCTGTGGCCTGCTCCCTCCTCAGGCCCACAGGTGCAGGTGCAGGGCCCGGGTCTGCGTGTGCAGCCTGGCAGCCAAGCGCCCCGCTCTCTGCCCACGAGGCACCAGCCTCCCACCCGGGCTGGGACCACAGCCACGCACGCGGCGCCCCATCTGCTGGGTTCCCCTGCGGCGGCTGGCCACGCCATCACCTGCAGCTAAGTTCCGGCCGGGGTTCCTGCGAGAGTGCTGGGGGCAGCTCCAAGGAGGCCGAAATCAGCCGGGACGGGCCTGTTGCCCTTGGCCCACTGGCAGGAGGGTGGCCATGCCTACAGTGCCACAGGGGCTTCAGCGACAGAGGCCATGTCCTCTGGAGCCTCAAGGCTGAGACCACAGCCCCAGTGCAGCTCTGGTCCGCCCCCTGCAGGCGCCCAGGAGAGGGCGGAAGCTCCTGTGTGCGGTCCACCATGCCGTGTGCACGGGGACACCACTGTCCCTTCCGTCCTGCACCCACACCCACGGGCAGGGTCGTCTCCCCGTGTCCCCTGTCAAGGCAGGGTCTGCTCCTTACAACTGGGCTCGCCCTGGGACGCTGGCCCGCGGCCCCCATGCCCTGTGATGGCCGCAGCAATGCAGGGCCTGCAAGACCTGCCCCGCGCACCTCTGGGACAGACCCCAGGTGGGGAGGGCCTGGCCACTCCTCCTGAGCCCAGCCACGCCCCCAGTGCCTTCCCTCTGCTCCGCTGACATGTGAGACAGGCAGGGGCAGCCCTGGGGCTGGGCTCGCCAACACACAGTCCTGTGTGCAGCCACAGCCGGCCTCACCCACAGCACGAAAAGAGCACCGTGGCCGTGGCCGTGTCTGCGTCTGCGTCCATGTCCGTGTCCGCGTCCGTGTCCCCGGAGGCCTGGGTCTGTAAGGCGCTCCACCCACGCCGCCCACGGCAGGCCCGGGCCAGCCTTTCCCCCTGCCCCCGGTCCACAGCAGCCAGAGGAGCTGGGGAGGCGCCGTCACTCGGGAGCCTCCTGCGGCCGCTACTGGGGCTCTCGCTCCCGGGCCAGGGGTCAGCGCACAGGGCCTCTCCGCAGCTGGAACGCGGAAACCCCGTGTCCCACAGCACACACGTCTCCAGGAACTGCTAGAAGACGCTTGTGTGAATGAATTCCAGCGTTTCCGTCAGGACAGAACTTATTTCTAATTCTGTTTTTCCTTGAAGTTTATAAAAATATATTTTTTTATTTGGGAGGCTGACAGACAGCCCATGTGTGTAGGCTCTCAGCCCTGGGACCCTCACCCCTGGACCCTCAGCCCTGGCACCCTCAGCCCTGGGACCCTCAGCCCTGGACCCTCAGCCCTGGGGCCCTCAGCCCTGGCACCCTCAGCCCTGGACCCTCAGCCCTGGGGCCCTCGGCCCTGGGACCCTCAGCCCTGGGGCCCTCAGCCCTGGACCCTCAGCCCTGGGGCCCTCAGCCCTGGCACCCTCAGCCCTGGACCCTCAGCCCTGGACCCTCAGCCCTGGGGCCCTCAGCCCTGGCACCCTCAACCCTGGGACCCTCAGCCCTGGACCCTCAGCCCTGGACCCTCAGCCCTGGGGCCCTCAGCCAGCCCTTGTACAGGATCTTGAGAGGAGCCCTGTCCCACACGACCCCGTCAGTCCGCAGAGGGCCCAGGGTGCGAGTCCTCCGTGTTTCTGGGTCACAGGGCTCTCGGTGCGTCCTGACGCTGCTGTCAGATCCACCCGGGGCCCGGGGCTCAGGCAGGAAAGGAAGGAAACGCCCAGGAGGCTGAGTGCCCCTGGGGAGGGGTCCCCAAGGCAGCAGCAGCGCCCAGGACGGGGCGGGCGGTCTCGGGAGCCCCCCACCGCCCGGGTGTGGCCAGGACCAGCAGGGGAGGAGGCCCGGGCTCTCACCTTTAGTCACTGCGGGCTCCACCTGCGCGGGGTCGCAGAGCTCCACCTCCTGGTCCTGGTAGCTGACCCGGCCCCTCCACTCGGCTTCCGCGGGCAGCTTCTTCAGCCTCAGCACCAGAGGGCACCGCGTGACAATGCCTAGGGGGCCAGGCCCGGGTCAGCTCGCACCTGCCCCTGCCCTGCAGGCCTGAGCCCACACTTGTCAACCCCCAGGCGGTCACCGCTGGGGGGACGGTGACGAGGCAGAACCTCCCGCCGCCCCCTTGCTGCTCACGCACGCTCTCTGCGTGACCTCAGGAACCGCCTAGGACAGGCAGCCCGGCGCCCTCTGACCCCGGGGCCCGCAGGCTTCCTCAGGCTGCCCGGTGGGAAACCCCTGTAGGCCCCGAAGCCCCCACCCTGCTCCCCGCCCTCCCCGACTGAGCACCTGCCAGGGCCCTCTCTGCCCCGCGTCCCAGCTGTCCTGGAAGGAGAGGGAGGGGCCTCACCGCTGCCCCTGGGGAGGGCCACACCCGACAGGGCCTCCAGCACGGAGCTCTTGCCCGAGCTCTGGTCCCCGATGACGGCGATGGCGGGCAGCGCCAGGTCCTGCTCCACGCCCAGGGCCCGCAGGGAGTCGATGAGGTCGATGCACGGGCGCACCCTCTCCTCGTACTGGGCGTACAGGTTGTTCTCAGGCCCCTGCGGACGGGAAGGCAGAGGACTCTGGGCAGCCGTGGGTGCAACGTCCGAGCAGCCAGCCCCAGCGAGCCGAGCAGGTTCGGGATTCTCCAAGGAGAGCAGGTGCAGGGGCAGGGGCAGGCTCCAGCGGGAAGAGCACCCAGGAGGGCTTCTGGGGTGGCTTCACGCGTCGTGGAAACGCAAAGCAAAGACTCAGGGACCTCCTGAGCCCTGACCTGGGAACAGGAGGGCACTGCACCGGGCACCAGGACCACACTGCTCACCACCAGCGCCAGGAACCCCGCGAGGATCGCGGCCCCACGTGCGGTGCTGAGCACCGAGGGGCGAACGGAGACGGACGCTGCGTTCCTACAGCAGCGAGGCAGGTGCGGGGACGGCGGGATGACGCTGCTCAGCCCGCAGAGGACCTGACAGTCTAAGCGCGGTAACAACGCCTTTAGGAGTGAAAGTGGGGGCCAGCCGTGTGCTGGACACGGTCACCCCCACCTGGGGTGCTGGCCTCCCATGGGGCGCCTGTTTGAGTCCACTGCTCCCCTTCTGATCCAGCTCCCTGCTGGCGCCCCTGGGAAAGCAGCAGGAGACGGCCCAGTGCTTGGGCCCCCGCACCACTGGGAGACCTGGGTGAGGTCCTGGACGCTGGCATCAGCCTGACCCAACCCCGGCCATGGTGGCCCCGTGAGGGGTGAACCAGCAGATCAGAGCTGTCTGTGTGTGTGTTTCTACCTGTCACACACGTGAGCAAGTCTCTGTACACACAGAAGTGGAGCAGCAACCACCTCAGACGTACAGACCTCTGAGCGCCCCGCAGCCCCCAGCCCCCCAGCCCCGGCTCTGTGGGGGATCCTCCAGGCGGCAGGGAGAGCTCCCGGCTGGATCCGGACCTCACCCGGAGGAGGGGTCAGCACCTCAGCTCCTCCTGGGACTTCAGTGTCTGGAAGGGACCGGACTGTCCCAGCCCAACACCGACCGTGCACGGTGGGGTGTGTGACGTGGGAGGTCAGGGGCTCGGCCAGACCGGGCGCAGCCTGCGGCGGCAGGGTGCCTAGCGCGCATTGAGGAGCGAGTTTCCACCTGGAGGCAGACCTACTCGGTGAAAGACGCCTACTGTGTGCACGCAAAAGTTACATAAATAAAGCCACCGAGGGGCAGGCGGCATCACCGGGCACGCCCTGGGACCTGGGCGGCAGCTGCCATGGCCCCTCCCGGGGGTCACAGGCAGCCCACCTCCGGCTCAGCCCATCTCAGGGTGTTCGTCCAGGCGTGAGCGGCAGGGAAGCCCCCCGAGGTCCGGCGGGAACGGCAGTGCAGGGACTCAGCGCAGAGGCTCGTGGGGTTCCCCCCAAAACGTCTTGGTTTGGGGGAGACAGCACGTGGCTGCTCAATGGAGCTCACAACGCAGTGAGCAGGCCCAGGGCTGAGCGGAGGCCGGGCCGAGGTTGGCAGGGACGGCCCTGGCTGCTTGTCCTGCCTGAGCCCCAGCGCCTGTCCAGGCTCCCAGAGCCAGGTGGCCCTGGCGGCCAGAGTGCACGGAGGCCATCTTCCTGCCCTGGTGGCCCAGAGAGCGGGGAGGACGCGGAGGCAGCAGGAGGGCGGCCGCTGCCCTGTGGAAGGGGACAGCCCTCAGCAGGACACGCCCGTGTCCCCAGGCGCACCTGCCGGGCGGCCACTTACCCTGGGCTGCGCGCTCTCTGCCGGGTGAGCGTCTCCATTCAGTGTCGCTGCACTGGGCTCAGCGGCTGAATCCGGACTCCTGGATTCCACCCCAGACTGCACCATCTTCCTCCGGTGTCTCCTGCGACGCTGTGTGCTGCGAGGAAGCGGGAGTCAGCCAGGCCTGCACGCCGAGCCCCGGCAGAGGGCCTGGGCCATTGCCCTGCCCAGACTCCATGGTGCCTGCCCCTCCCCCGGGCCAGCCCTGGCCCCTGAGCACCATGGCTCTGCTACCTAGAAACGGAGACAGGGAGGCGCTCTGCGAGGGGGAGGGGTGGGGACCAGAGCTGATCCACTAGGGGGTGCTAGGGAGGCGCTCAGAAGTGCTGTCTGTGGTCCCTGCTGTGTGTGAGGGAGGGGCGTCTCCCCAGGCCTGGATCCCCAGCAGCAGGGTCCTGCTCCCCAGGCCCCTTCCGGAATCCTCTGTGTGGGGTCCTGCCCCCTGGGCATCCCCAGCCCCGCAGGGTGGGCGGAGCCCCGCAGGTGCCTCTCTGGGCCTCCTCCTCTCCCAGCCGCCCTGGGGTCTCCCCGCCAGCCCCCCGCCCCAGGACCAGTGAGGACCTGGAGCCGGCACTTCCCAGGAGCCCGCCCCGCCCCACCGCAGAAACTCCCAGTCCGCGGGGCCCACTCGGAGACCCCAGGAAACTTCCTCAGCGCCCCGCCCCCTGACCGGAGACCCCTCCCGACTCCAGCCCCTCCCCCTTCTCTGGCTGCAGGAATTTGAAAAGAGCCAGGACAGGTGGCAGGTTCAAGTTTTACCGCGTCATTCCGGGCGGGCCGCTCCGGGGGCCAGCACCTGGGGTGGTCGGAGCCCATCCACCGTGGCCCTCGCTCCCGTGACGTCACCCGCCCGCGAGAGGACGCGCACTGCCCTCACCTCTTCTCCACCAGGAAGCCCCGCTGCGTGCGCCCCTCTCCCGGCTGGAGCGCGGACCCCAGCGGCGACACTCACCGCTCCTAGCTCAGCGCCAGAAGCCGCGGTCCGGGCTCCTCCGGTTTTATGAGGCGCCGGCTCCGCCTCCAGCTCCGCCCAGGGCCACGGAGAAATGAAACTTGGCGGACCCTCAGGGACCAAGAGCGGGGGCGGGGACAGGGGTCACAGAAGGAAATCCAGAGCAGCCCATCCTGCAGGAGAGAAACGAAACTCAGTGGCCAAGGGGGTGGGCTGGGCGCCCAGCGCAGCCCCCTCCATGCCCATCCTGGCTGCCCGCGGGAAATGCAGGTCCTGGGGCCCCAAGCCCGGACCTCCTGGGTCTAACCCTCAGGGAGGGGCGGAAGCCCAGGACCTGGGTCTCATCAGAGGCTTCTGAGGCCCTGGCCCGGCTGCTGCCCCCACAGCCCACTTCACACGCCCCCGGGGGAAGGGCAGGCCCACTTCACCCCGACCAGAGGGAGGCCCAGGAGCCGCCAGGCCCCCGGGAGGCGGCAGCACCGCGGTCCCCGTGCAGGGCTTTATCCCCTCGGCTGCGCCCTGGCCTCTGCTCCCGGCTACACCCGCGGGAGCTCACAGTCGTCCCCCTGGGCCGAGACCCTGGCGCCGAGAGCGCTGGGTGTCAAACGCCCCGCACCATCTCCAGCTTTTGCCCCTAAATGAACTCCTGTAACTCGTCTTCCCCGCATGGACCCTGCAAGGTGCCCGTCTCTGCGGAAGAATCCCGGGTTCCTGTGGCTCCACGGAGCCCCCAGCGCGTGGCCCTGGGCCGGGCTGCCCTGCAGGTGCAGGCCGGTTCTTTCCGGCTCAGCACCGCTGCTCCTGGACCCCAGGCGCGCACTTCCCAGGCCTGGCGTGGTCGCTGCCGGCCCGCCGCTGCAGGGCCCCCAGGGCTCCGGGTTCCGCGGTGGGCAGCCCCCCCCCCCGCCCCTCTCGGGCCCCCCACTCTGCGTGGCCAGGAGACAGCCTGGTCCTCCCCCGAGCTTGGTCACCGCGCCTGCGTCATCGCGCTCGGCCCCTCCCCCGCTCATTTCCATGCTCCGCGTTCATTTTCAGTTTCCGTTTCCTCTGAGGTTGCCAGAAACTCAAGTCGGGTGGGCAGCCGGGGTGGGCGTGGGGCGGAGCCTGGAGCGGGGAGGTGGGGCGGAGCCTCCACGAGTGGGTGGGGCCCGGGCTCGGTTGGAGCGGGGAGGGGAGGGCGGTGCCGAGAAGAGAGGCGGGGCCGTGGAGTAGGCGGGGCCAGGAGACCCTGGAGGAGGCTGAAGGGGGCGTGGCCGGGAGACGGGGCGGAGCCTGGCGAGGTCGGGGGCCGGGAGCTGGGTTTTGGTTGGAGAGAGTCTGAGTCTGGAGCAGGTGGTGGAGCTGGGAGGAGGGGCGGATCCAGGAAGAGGGGCGGGGCCTCCACGAGTGGGTGGGGCCCGGGCTCGGTTGGAGCGGGGAGGAGAGAGGCGGTGCCGTGGAGTGGGCGGAGCCTGTGGAGGGGCGGTCCCGGGGGAAGGGGCTGATGGAGGGGGCAGTGGGGTTGGGAGACCCTGGAGGAGGCAGAAGGGGGGGCGTGGCCGGGAGCAGGGTTTGGTTTTGGGGAGAGTCTGAGTCTGGAGCAGGTGCTGGAGCTGGGAGGAGGGGCGGATCCAGGAAGAGGGGCGGGGCCGGAAACAGGGGTCACCTAGAGAGGAGGGAGCAGGTGGGTGGGGCCGTGGTCGGGGTCCCCTGGTTCTGGCCAGATGCCGCTGGTGCCCCGCAGGTTTGCGCTGTCCGGGGGTCGCGGGATGCGGAGCGGATGCTGTGCCCACGTCCGGGCCCGCCGTGTCCCGGGGGCAGAGCCGGATCAGTCGCCCCGGTCCAGCCTGGATGCCCGTCCAGGGCGCGGGTCACCTGTGGGTCTCGTCTTCTCCTCCGCTTGTGACCCGTGTCCCAGAGGCGGCCCCCGGTCCCGCACGCTGGCCTCGCTGGGAGCTGGATGGCCGCAGGGTCTGGGGCCGCCTAGGGACCCCGCACAGAGCCCGCGCTGACCCCCACTTCTCTGTGTCTACCAGGTCCGCAAGGCAGGGCCAGGGCGGGCACGGAGGCTGAAAGCCGGGTGTGCGGGCGCAGCCGCGGGGGCGGGCGAGCGGGGCCCAGGCTCGCAGGCCTGGCTTTGAGGGAGCGGGAAGGCACCGTGGCCTCTGCAAAACCGCGCCTCCCCTTAGGGCCGCTGTCCGCGGGCACCCACGCAGGAGCAAGTTTCCCGTCTCCCGGTCGGAGCGTGGGCTCTGCCCGCCCGCCAGCCCCTCGTGGGGCAGTGACCTGGGGCCACGCCGCGCCCACCCTGCCCTCGATTCGGTCGTGTTGGGCGCCTTCACGGAGCTCCGTGCTGGCTCCTGCTGGAGGCTGGGGGTGCGCGGTGTGGGGACAGGTGAGCAGACCGGGGCTGCGGCCAGGGCTGGGGGCTGCTGGGGCTGGGGAGGGGCGTTCACGGAGGGGAAGGGTCGGTTTCCTGGCACAGGGGGCATGAGGTTCACAGCTCACAGGAGCAGTTGCCGTGTCTCTGTCTCCTGCCTGAGGACGGGGGGTCCTGGGAGGCACTGGGTTGTGCTGTGTATCTCTGTACCCATGGTGCCGGGGGCACTGGGTGGCTGTTGTGGGTGCAGTGGCTCCGGGCCATGAAAGCCGCTGGCTCTGGGCGGCCCCGGGGATGCCCTCCTGTGCCTGGAGTCTCCTTATGCCTTCTCCTTATGCCAAGTGCCCAGCACGGTCACCCCAGAGGCCCAGGCAGGGAGGATCGGGGGCAAGGAAACACACCGGCATCTTCACGTCATCTGCAAGGCACTAATTGGGGGCCACGGCTCAGGCTGCGGTTTTGCCATGAACTTTTATTGTGAAAGTGTAAGGTTTCCCACCCTGGCCTGTGCTGCAGACTCGGCAGGGGCTTTCCAGGTCAAACCCGGATCAACAGCAAGCAGAGAACAGTGTTCCCTGTGTTGTCTGGGCTAAGGGCTCCGTGCTCAGTATTCGGGCATCAGAGAAGCATGACGTAGGAATCAGAATCCCCGTCGCTTGTCCCGTTGGGTCCTGGTCTGGCGCAAGGCTGCAGGGTTTTGGTGAAAAGCTTTTCCTCATTCAGTCCCTTGGGGACACCACGTGCAGGCTCCCACACTGGGCGAACTCCCAGGGGGCAGGAGCCTCGGGGGCTGGGAACCTGCAGTGGCGCGAGGCTTCCCCTGGAGAGTGACCGCTAAGGGACACAAACACCCAGGACCCGGACTCCGAGAGGGCCCCAGGTCATCCCCCGGCCCTCCACGGCGGGGATCTGTTCTTGCTGACGTCAGCTGATCAGTGGTGACTCCGCTCTGGGTGCCCAGCGAGATTCTCGCACAACCAAAGCGGAACAAGATGCAGACTCCCTCCCCCACCCCGGGCTGTCCCAGGCTGCCGGCGACAGCGGGAGTGACGAGTGACGGGGCTCCCACTGCCCGCGCGGGGCCACGGCCTCAACAGCGCCTCTCCGAGGAGGTCAGGGGAGTTGGGCCTGCGGGGACACCAGCCGCAAGCTCTGGGGATGTGTATGGGACCGGGATGGGAGGACGGGGGAGTGGCCCCCGCCCGGGGCCACTCGGGCTGTCCCTTCAGTGCACCCCTCCCTTGGAGAACTGCCAGAGCGTGCGCCGCGCCTGGGCCAGCCGGAAGAGCCGCTCCTTCAGGGCCTTGCGCTTGGTGGCGGTCTCCTTGTGCTCCTGCAGCAGCCAGGAGTACCTCTCTTTCTCCTGGAGGGTCCTCAGCATGGCTTTCTGCAGGCAGTCGCCGTTTTCTCGAAGTATGAAAAACTGAATTATGAACGGGATCTGGTTGGACAGCCGTTTGCTGGTTTCCTGGAAGAGACGAGAGGGGGCTCGGCTGAGGGTCTTGGCGCAAAGCCCGAGGCTCCCCAGAGGGCCTTGGGGCTCCTGGGCGTGTCCAGGTTCACTCTGCCGCGTTCTGACGCTCCATCAATAAACAACAGCGCGTCTGACCTGTCCCCTTAGCTCCCTGGGTCCCCCCAGCTCATGCCACCTGCTGGGCATCCAGCCTGCCCGGGAGCTCCTCCCGCTGCCCATGGTGCCCCCGGCTCCCTTGGGGAGGTAGGGGGATCTGCTTCAAGCATGTCCATCGGCCTCTGTCTTCATTCAGGTCAGGTGGCCTGGCGGCTGGACGCCCTGTTCTGATTGGAAAGGGTACAGGAGCCAGGCGTTTGCAGCCTAAATTCTCTCCCGTCCTGTGCACCCTCGCACCTGCCACTGGACGGAGGGACGGAAAGGGGGGGGGGTCACATGGCTCACAGAATCTGGGGAAGGGACCGTTATTCCTGCCTTGGGGGGCTGACGGTGCTGGGACAGCCCAGGATGGCTGGTGACAGCCAGGGCGCCGATGCCTGCTGTCTTTTGCTGTGTTCTGAGGGTGCACGCATCGCACGTGCAGTCTGAAGTCAGAACTCATTTGCATCCCTGCGCTGCCACCTTAACAAGGGTTCGGCAGAGGAGTCGAAAGCGGCTCACAGGGCTCCTGAGAGGGGCAGCGCATGAGCGTAGATCCCCACGGGACCCCCAGGCTGGGCGGACAGCAGGGCTCACCAAGCAGTACGCCTCCACGTGGGCTCCGATTTCGCTGACGGTGGAGACTTGGGCTGTGTCTTTGGCAGAGCGGGAGGCCAGGGGGAAGGCCAGGGGCGTGTTCCCCGGGGGCTGCAGCGCCTCCTGGCGGACACCCTTGAGCACTGTGCTGTAGATCTGGTCCTGGCAGTAGACCAGCTTCTCCATCTTGAACTGCAGCTGGATCACCTCCTGCGCCTTCTCCACCTGCCTCGTTCTGATGCCTTCGATGTTGTTCTGGGCGCACGAGAGAGACCGGCTGTGCCTTCTGCTGCTGCTCTGCCAGCTGGCAAGGACTCTCAGGTTTAGCCCGGAATTGACAGCCAAGCAAGGTCTCTGGGCGGAGATCCCTGGGAGATCCGGTTCCTTGCCAGCACACGCGGCGGCCTCCTCCCTCCCTCCCTGCCGCCCTGGGGCTGCCTGCAGCTCCCCACTGCTGAATCCAAGCTCTCAGTGAGCTGGGTGGGCTGACGGCGGCTCTGTGCATTTCCTCGGAATCCTGGGACAGCCCCACCCACCCTCCCACGCAGTCAAAGGCGTCTAGGGAGGGTGTCGGCAAGGGGGGAAAGTGTGTGACCCTCCCAAACCCAGACGCTGAAGTCCCCGCCCCAGGTGAGGGTGACGGAGGCGCCCTCCTGGTGCCGTCCGTGCCCCCATGGCGGCAGAAGACTCCACAGTGGAGGACACACAGTGGCGGAGCCCAGCCCTGCAGCCCCTGGGCCGGGAGGAGCGCCCGGCGGGGTGACCCCAGACAGCCACTCCCTGCAGACTTCGGGGCTGCAGGGGACAAGATCGGGGCTCTGATGAGTCTGAGGCGGAGCAGAGACCCTGCGGGGCCCTGGCCTCGGGGAGCCAAAGGGAGGCTGCGTCTCCCCGAGGACTGCAGGTCCCACGCACGTGGGGGCCTGCACCTGCTGGGCTGGGCAGGAGCTCGGGGAAACCAGCCCTGCAGCAGGGGTGCTCAAAGGACCGGGGGCAGCAACCGTGGGGGCCGGGAAGCTCGGCCCTGGCAGCCTCCAGTCTGGAGAAATGGTGGCCAGGGGCCAGGAGGACTCCAGAGCCAGTCCCCGCCCTGGGCCTCTGGGCTGTCACTCAGAGCCAAGCCCCGCCCCGCAGCAGAGGTCAGGGCTGGGAGACAAAGCCAAGCAGGCAGCCTCTCTTGGAGCTGAGCCCCCGCCCCCGCCCAGCCCACCGGCCTGCACCCCGACCCCCACCCCACCCAGCAGGACGGACTTCTGTCCCAGGCGAGAGCAGTCCTGGGAGGGGCAGGGGAGCCCTGGGCACTCACCCGGACGATCTGATGGAGGTTGGAAAAATCGCTGAAGTGCTTCGCGGCCGTGTCGCAGAAAGCTTGCTGGACGATCTCTGACCAGAGAGAGAACAAAACGTCGGTGCCACGCAAGCACGACCCAGGGCTCCCGGTCCAGGGTGGGGCGCCCAGCCACAGAGCCGCAGTAGGGGGCGGGCTGGTGCATGTTCCCCGGGAGCCCAGCGCCCTCGGCAGGTGCCAGCCCCTCCCCGAGGGCGCCCAGCGGGGGGGGGGCGGGACGGCGGGCCTCACCCACGGTGCTGAGCAGCACTTGGAGCGCGGGGTCCACCAGCTGCTGCAGGTGCTGCTGGACGATGGTCTCGAACGTCTTGTAGCTGACGAAGCCCAGAAGCTCCTTGCCGCGATACTGATTCTCGTACTTTGAGATTTCGTCCTGAATGTTATTTTTCACTGCAACGTGAAGCAGACCTCCTTGGTGACTTCCAGCCCGTCCACACGCGTTTTCAGGGTCGGAACGCTGTTTAAGGTCCTGCTCCCGGCCGCACCCGCACCCGTCGGGAGGACTGCGGGTGGATCTGGTGCACAGTCAACCCCGGGCTCCGATGCCAGGCTGAGGGGTGCTGACGCCGAGGGGCAGAAACACCACTGTGTGCGCGTGTTCCATGAACGGCCGTCTCCACGGCAGTGCCCGGCGCCCTGTCCCCAGAGCACACTCCCACCCCCAGGGCAGTGCCCGGAGCCCTGTCCCCAGAGCACACTCCCACCCCCAGGGCAGCGCCCGGAGCCCTGTCCCCAGAGCACACTCCCACCCCCAGGGCAGCGCCCGGAGCCCTGTCCCCAGAGCACACTCCCACCCCCAGGACAGTGCCCGGAGCCCTGTCCCCAGAGGCCACTCCCACCCCCAGGACAGTGCCCGGAGCCCTGTCCCCAGAGCACACTCCCACCCCCAGGGCAGTGCCCGGAGCCCTGTCCCCAAAGGACACTCCCACCCCCAGGGCAGTGCCCGGCGCCCTGTCCCCAGAGCACACTCCCACCCCCAGGGCAGTGCCCGGAGCCCTGTCCCCAGAGGCCACTCCCACCCCCAGGGCAGCGCCCGGCGCCCTGTCCCCGGAGCAAACTCCCACTTGCTGCATGGAAACAGAACCTCAAAGGTTCTCCCAGCTCGCGGGGGTCCTGCAGGCACCCAGTGCAGACCACAGTGGAGACAGCCACGGCAGCACCCTGCTGTGCAGCTCCTGCCCAGTGCCACACAGCACCCAGCACACACCACACACCACATACATCACACACCACACACACACAGTACACACAGCCCCCCCACAGCACACACGGTACACACACACCCCACACTACACACACAGCACACACAGTACACACACACATCCCACACCACACACACACAGCACACACACTACACACGCACCCAAGCTGTGTGGCTGTAACTGTAACCGTGTCCTCTGCTCCACCCAGATGGGAACTATCCCAGGTCCCCTTGTCCAGCAGGCCACACCCGCAGGCTGCGGCTCAGCCGCCACCATGGCCGGCCCCTGGCTCCTGGGCACAGCTGAGGCCGGGGAGGCGCCCCGGGGCCAGCTCCCAGGTCGGCTGCTCCCGCGAGGGCCCAGGGCGCCGGCCCGTCTCTCCTGGGGCTGCTCGGCCTGAGCCTGAGGACAAGGCAGGGGCGCGGGCTGGGCACAGCGCTCTCACGGTCCCTCCCACGGCGGGCTCAGCCGCGCTGTGGCCCTGGGGCGGGGCACTGCTATGGCGGAAGCCCTACCTCTCAGGTTGCTGGCAGTGAGGACGCCGGCCCAGCGCTGGAACTGCTGGCGCACCCTGTTGTACATGCGCGTCTCCTTCTCCTTCACGGCTTCCTCCGCCTCCACCAGCTTCTCGATGTCCTGGTTAAACAGCTTGATTTTCTGAAAGGACAGCAGGTCCTCAGGAGGGGGCTGGGCCAGTGGAGGGTCATGGGGCAGCAGGGTACCTCCCAGCCTGCGGTGCCAGCATCCCGTATGGGCGCTGGTTCAAATCCCAGCTGCTCCACTTCCGATCCAGCTCTCTGCTGTGGCCTGGGAGAGCAGTGGAAGATGACCCAGGTCCTTGGGCCCTGCACCCACGTGGGAGACCTGAAGGAAGCTCCTGGCTCCTGGATTCAGATCAGCCCAGCTCTGGCCATGTGGCCATTGAGGAGTGGACCAGCAGGTGGAAGACCTCTCTCTCTCTCTCTCTCTAATTCTGCATTTCAAATAAATAAATAGGGGCTGGTGCTGTGGCTCAGCAGGTTAACACCCTGGCCTGAAGCGCCGGCATCCCATATGGGCACTGGTTCAAGACCCGGCTGCTCCACTTCCGATCCAGCTCTCTGCTATGGCCTGGGAAAGCAGTAGAAGATGCCCCAAGTACTTGGGCCCCTGCACCTGCGTGGGAGACCCGGAAGAAGCTCCTGGCTCCTGGCTTCAGATCGGCACAGTTCCAGCCATTTGTGGCCAATTGGGGAGTGAAACATCCGATGGAAGAACTCCCCCCCCCCCGCCCCGCCTCTCCTCTCTCTGTGTAACTCTGACTTTCAAATAAATAAATAAATCCTTAAAAATAAATTAATAAACAATAAAAAAATCTTAAGAAAAGGTTAGCCTGCTGCAGATTTATTAAGACTCGAGTTCCACCCGCACTTGCCTAGGCGGGGCCGGACCACGTGGCTGGGCCCCAGCCCTGAGCGAAAGGGATCCGGTGACTCAGAGGTTGGATTCTGCGCCCCAGGGTCACCTGGCGCTCCAAGGCACCCGTACCTCAATCAGAAAGAACATCATGTCGGCCTCCTGGCTGGGGACGTCGGCCCCACAGCTCCGCAGCTCCTCGGTCGCCTGCAGGTGCTTCTCTCGTATCTGAGTCTCCAACAGTGGGAGTGATTTCTGAACAAGACAATCGCAAATGGTGAAACCGGGCGCTTTGGGAACCTGGCCAGCAGGCGTCACAGCCAGACGGGGATCCCCGGGGCCCAGGACGGCGGGGCGTGCAGTGGGTGAGCGCTGCAGCTCCCAGGGGACGCTCTGGCTTCCTCTTGTTGGATTTTGTTCGGTGCTTTGTAGAGGGGTTTTTAAAAGGGTCCACAGGGACTGGCGCTGTGGCATAGCCGGTAAAGCAGCCACCTGCAGCGCCGGCATCCTATATGGTGCCGGCTGTGTCCCGGCTGCTCCTCTTCCGATCCAGCTCTCTGCTGTGGCCTGGGAAAGCAGCAGAAGATGGCCCAAGTGCTTGGGCCCCTGCACCCACGTGGGAGACCTGGAGGAGGCTCCTGGCCCAGCCCAGGCCATTGCGGCCATTTGCGAAATGAACCAGTAAATGAAGGTCTTATCCCTGTCTTCCCTCTCTCTCTGTAACTCTTCCAAATAAATAGATATTTTAAAGAATTACCCTGTTTCTCAACAAGCCCCAGGCTGGACTACAGTTCTACAGGGGATGGGCTCAGGAGACCACGTGGCTGTCTATTTTTGAGAAATCACAGAGAGAGATTATTCCTTACAAACTGGTCGTCTCTCCCAGGTGTGAGGCTGGGGAGATGGCTTTATACTGTGAAGGGTCACGACCAATTGACAAGGGTAGTGTGCCAGCCTCATGGCCGTTCCTTTCACGCCGGCTTCTCAGCTCCGTCTCTTCCCCGGAGCGCGCTGTGCGCGGCGCCTGCACCTGCTGCACGCCAGCCGCCCGGCAGGCGGCGTTTCTCCTACTCACACTGATGTGTTCGCTGAGCTCCTCCGTTAGCCTTTCCGCCAGCCGGGGCACCGTGGCCATCCCATTGTCCAGGAGAACTCTGAAAGCACACGGGGCACCGGTCAGGCCCGGCGGCAGGGCTGGGCGGCCATTCTCACAGGGCGTGGGCGAGGAGCTCAGCTCCCCGGGGCCGCAGATGCCCATCGAAGTGAGAGAGACGGCAGGGAGTGAGGGCGCCAGCCTGCACCCAGGCAAGCAGGGTGCCGGGAGCTCGCGTTTGCTGTCCCTTCTCCTCCTCCCAGCCAGCTGGTGGGCGGGGCAGCCTGCCTGCAGGGAACTGGCACAGCCAGGCTCCGGCGCTCGCCCGAGTCTGCCGCAGGGCTGCCACGGTGCCCAGACCTCGGAGGTGCCAGCGACATCCGCGCCGCCCGAGTTTGTGCAAACACCTCTCGCAGGTGCCTGCGGGTGCGTCTCTCCGTCTCCCTCGCTAAGTGGCACTCGGGGGCATTTTGCTCCTTGCGATGGGTGTTCATCCGATGCCTACCATGCCTGGCGCCGCTCCAAGGGCTTTGCAAACAGGGATGTGACGTGTTGTGCCTAGGCTGTTCCACGTAATCCGGGAGGGAGCAGTAGGATGCCCCGGGCAGACCTGGAGACGGCAGCCCAGCTCCCAAGGGCACGGTGAGCAGGAGGCAAACCCGCTCTGCTCAGATTCACCGTTCTGTTGCCTCTCTGCTTAGAGCTGGAGTGCCCTCTGCCCTCTGCCCTCTGCCCTCTGCCCGGGCTCCCACTGCCCAGGGATAGGAAATTCCTGGACGAAACACGGGGGAGACCCAGTGCCCTGCCAAGCGCAGCGCGGCGACAGGATGATTTACGCCGTAGTGAACTGTCACTGCGCCGGCTCAGAAAAGATCCACAAAGCTCCTGTTCGTGTGCGCCACTTACCATGGCAAACTCGGGCTTCCGGAACTTTCTAGATGTTTCTCGAATCCTGTTTCCACGTATCATTGGGCCTGCTTTCCTCATCTATAAGAGTGGGAAGGCCTGCCCCTGCCTTACAAACCTCCCTAGACTTCGTGGGACCCCAGTGAGATCCTCGCAGGAAACCCCAATGTTCTGTGCTCTGTGCAGGGCCACGCAGTCAACTCTGTTGTTAGAGCACAAGGAGCTATATTTAAACTTGTTTCAATAACTCAGTTAACGTAACCTGAGAGGGCCGGCATTGTGGAGCAGCGAGTTAAGCCCCTGCCTGCAGTGCTGGCGTCCCATAGGGGCACTGGTTCGAGTCCCGGCTGCTCCACTTCCAATCCAGCTCTCTGCTATGGCCTGGGAAAGCAGTGGATGATGGCCCAAGTCCTTGGGCCCCCTGCACCCAAGTGGGAGACCTGGAAGAAGCTCCTGGCTTCCACCTGGCCCAGCTCCGGCCACTGTGGCTGCTTGCAGAGTGAACCAGCAGACGGAGGATACCCCCGCCCAGCACTGTATATAACTGCCTTTTGAACAGATCTTTTACATCAGAAACGTCACCTAGAATAAAGCCAGGGACACTCGGCTGTCACTGGGCCCCCGGTGGCCGGAGGCTGTGGCTGGGGGGAGGGGTCCTGCGCCAGGGGCTCCGCAGGCGCTCACCTGAAGTGCGGGTGCACCTCAAAGAACTGCATCTCTCTCTTGGCCGCCTCGGCGCAGCTCAGGTTGTTGAGGACCTCCTGCTGGGCCCGGCACCTCACCATCATGTAGCCCTTCTTGAGGTGGTAGGTGAGGTTCTGCGCCACCTGCAGCACGCCCTTCTCGGTGCCCCTGTCCACCAGGTCGGGCTTGGTCAGCACCCCTGCGGGAGGGCGCAGAACGTCAGCGGGAGCTCCAGGGCTCGGGGCTCCTCGTCCCGTCCCGGGGCGCGGCCTTCTCTGACCCACCCGACGTGCGTGGACGCCTGCCGTGTGGTGGGCACCAGGGAGGTGGGTGCCGCCACGGGGCCAGCCGCCCAGCCTTTCCCCAGGACGCCGTTCCTACCACGAGGTCCCTTTCGCGGCCCCCCCAGAGCCCTCCTTGGGGGTGTCTGCACTGCTCTGTGCTCCCCGCCTTTGTCACCCACTCTTCCGCCCCCTCCTTGGGCTGGGTTGAAAGTTTGGATTTCTGAGTGTTTGCCTTGCTTTTTATTTCCATGGAAAACCTAAAAGCCTCACCTGTAGTTTGTGCTGCAGTCTGGCCACCTGGTCTACCATTTCCTGACCCTTCCTGGGAACCACAGCTGAGCATTTGTTCTCTCTCTCCCCTCCAGAGGTCTCATGTAAGAGCCCACCTTCACCCCGCCTAGAAGATTCGGACAAGCATAGAGCTACATGCCCTGGACGAGCCACCAGCTCTCTGAATCCCTTCTGGCACCTTCCAGTGAGAGAGCGAGGCCCTGGCCCTGGGAGGGGGAAGCAGCCCCGGGCCCTACCCTGAGCCGGCTGCCGCTCTCGCGTACCTAGGGCACGGCTTCTCCTTGAGAGGGAAGGCAGGGGCTGACGCACGGGGGTCTTCTACCAGGACTGGCCCTAGCGGGGAGAGGACGCCGCCTGCCCAGCTGCCACCCCCCTGCTGGTCCCTGGGTCAGCACATCCGGGCTCCCACCTTTCGGCTACTGTCAATCATGCAGTTCCCAGCCTGGGGGCCGGTTCCTCCCCCTGCCACACCTCGCACATTTCCCTTTATTTCTATGCTTAGAAATAGAGCCCTAGAATGCGCAGAAAATTTGCATTTCTGTTTCAACCTTGTTTGGGGCCCAGGCCGAGGTCTGTCTGACTGTGTAGACTCCAGCACTGCACTGACTGGCCAAGTTCACCATCATGATGGCCGTAGTCACTGGGGGCTTTGCTTACCCGAGTTTGCCACAAACCAGAGGACCAGGAAGCTGCCTCTAAATCCCACAGAGACGTCAGCGTCCAAACAGCACTATCTCTGATGACCCAGAGCGGCAGCCCCTGGATCCTCGCAGGACGCAGGGCACCTCCCACAGCGCTACTTTCCAGAATGTTCCCTGGAAGACTGGATCTTCCTTCTCACCGATGGTCCTGTCCCCGTCGGGGTCCACCTCCCGGGCCATGCTCAGCGCCTCGGTGGTGGCGATGTCCACGTTGCTGGGGACCACGACCAGGTTGATGGTCTCCTGCCTCTGGATGTATTTCCTGATGAGCGCCTTGATCTGGGGCCAGAGAGACACAGAGGACGAGCCGTGGCCCCATCTGACCACGCGGCAGCAGGGCCAGGGGACGGGCGTGATGGGGCGAGGCAACAGGGTCCCCGGGCGGGCCAACCCCACCCCCTGGAGGCCTGTCCGCCTGCCCCGGCCTGCTGGGCTGCCTCCCTTCCCTGCGGCCTTTCTTCTTCCCTGAGGACGCTCTGGGGCCTGCAGCCAGGGCCCCCCGCTTCCAGCGCCTCTGGGGTTCTGCCCAGGGGAACCGGCAGTGAGCTCCCCACATGGAGAAACAAGGAGGCCAGACAGGAAAAGTGAGGGGTTCGATGGATGCATCAGAGGGGGCGGTCATGGGGAGCTGGCTTCAGAGCTCAGGATGGAGGTCAGGGAAGGCCAGCGGGCAGAGCCGTGCAAAGGCCCAGGGGCCTCAGTGGGAGGGTGGTCAGCACCAAGAGGCGCCCTGGGGCGCTGCAGGCTCAGGCACGGACCCCAGAGGCCTCGGCCGCTGCAGCCGGGCCCCTCCCCGAGTCCCCACGAGGCTCACCTGCTCTCCGATGTCCCGGGGCTGCCCGCCTATAGCCAGCCTGGCAATGCCAGGCAGGTCAATGAGCGTGAGGTCGGGAACCTCGCAGGAGGTGACCTCCAGGGTGATGAGCTCCTGACTGATGCTCGTGTCACTTCCCGTCAGGGCTTTCTGGGCTGCAGAGGCCGAGAGGGGAGGAGCCCCCGTGAGTGACGCAACACCGAGGACCGCTGGCCTCCAGGGGACGGGCAGCTCAGGGGGGTCCCAATGTGGGGGCTGCTTTTCTAGAAGCCTGCTGAACCAGTGCAGGAGGCCCTGGGTGGGAGCTGGCACACGTGCTGGCCACAGACCGAGGCAGTGTGACTGCCCCAGCTCCTAGGGGGCACCAGGGGGCGCTGTGGCAGCTTAAACCCTGTCCGTAGCATCCTAAGGAAGCCCAGGCAATCTCAGGGCCCCAGCAGCTTCTGTACTTGGGGCTGAGCCCCGGAACCGGAGGCGGCCTGGGTCCTGTGAGGACTGGTCTGCCTGGGGAGCCGCTTGGGCGGGCAGGCGCCCTGGAGGCGGCCACGGCCTCTCCCTTGCACCTGGCGTGTGCTGTTAGGGGGCCTGGAGCCGGCGCCTCCGCGGAGGAGAGGTGCCTGGTGTGTTCGGGGCTGTTTGCTGAGCTCAGGGCTGGGCTGTGGGAGCAGGGAGGAGGAGCCTCGCGGGCAGGCCCAGGCGGGCTGTGCAGACTCCGGGAGCAACGGGGCCTTCGTGTACCCAGCTTCAGCCAACCTTGTTCAATGGCTGGGGGCACTGGCCATGTTGACGGGGAACGTCAGGTTGGGAGGGCGTGGAGCTGTGGCCCCAGTGTAGCAGGGCCTGGGGAGGACAAGCGCTGTCCGTCCCCCTGGGCTGGGGCACGTCCGGAACAGGCCATCTGAGACCTCGAGGATCAGTAGGGATTAGGTAGGTAAGGAGGAACGGGACAGGTGGGAGGTCTGGGATGGGCACACGGGAAAACCTAGAAGGAAGACAGTTTGTTCCCCGTGGAGGAGGTGGGAGGCCAGAGCTGGGGAGCGGAGGGGGAGGGGGAGGGGAGCCGGGGCCGGCCCAGGCAGCCACAGGGCTGTGGGAGCTGAGGGAAGCCACCCAGGGTCTTCAGCTGGGAGGTAACCAGTGGGCGGTGACCTGGACGAGGTCGTGCGGGGACAGGGGAGGTGTCCCAGCGGGGAGGCCGTGCCCGTGTCAGGGAGGAGCCCAGGGGCCCTACCTTTCCGGATCTCCTTCTCCACCTGGGAGGGGCTGTCCAGCTGCAGCCGCACGTCCCGGTAGCTGACGGTTGCCCTCCACCTGGACGCCCACGGCTGCTTCTTCATCTTCAGCTCCAGCGGGCACCTCGTGATGATCCCTGCGAGGGCCCCACATGCTCAGTCTCCTCTCAAGCCGAGCTTCTCTGCTCCCTTGCCCCCACTTCCCGGACCACGGACACCTGTGGTCCCCGTCGGGGCCTGGCTTGGCAGGTGCGCAGGAGCCGAGGTGCTGGGGTGTGTCCGTGCCTTTGCTGCTGCAGCGGGAGCCCCTGGCTCACAGGTCCCTGAGCGGTCACTGCTGGCCGGCATTGCAGCCCCTGCCCTGCTCTGGGTGTGGTGCACGGGGATGTGGGGCCCTCGGGTGTCTGCTTGGAGGCCTGTCTGGGTTCCACCAGGGGGCCAGCCGCCACCCCCCCCCCGCTCCCCACGCCCCGGGGGCTGGAGGGCTGGGAAGAAGGGCGTGCTGCCTGGGAGAGCCCGGGCAGCCCGAGGAGGCCGCACTGGAGAGTGTGAGGCTGCCATGCGCAGGGAGGGCCCCTGGAGTGGGGACTGGGGCTGGGGCTGGGGCCCTGAGCACCTGCTCCCTCACACCCTTGCCCTGGGCGGGGCGGGGGCTGTTTCCCCACTCCTCTGGCGTTCACATCTCTACCCCAGCAGGTGCCCGGGCTGACAGGGTCTCCTGGGACATCCCCTCGTGAGCGGAGCAGGCTGCTGTGGCCGGCAGGGGCCCAGGTCTGGTGGCCTTGTCCTCCAGTCACTGTTGGGAGCAGCCCAGGGCGCCGCGGGCGAGGGAGGCCTCCCTCTACGGTGGCCACTCCCTCCAGGACCGCTGTCCATGCCCCTCCTTCCACGCCAGCCGCTGTCCTGGCTCCCTGCAGGCCTGGGAAGCCCTTCCGCAGGCCCTCTCCGGGGTCCACGCCAAGCACCCCTTCCTGTCCGTCTTTGGCACCATTTGATTAAATTATCCACGCGCCAGCTGCTGGGCTCCACACACGCCCTTCAGAGCATTTCCACAGGGAGATGGCGTGTCTTAGCCGGCATCGCCCGGCCTAGCAGCCACGCACACTGTCAACGGGATCCTCCGCAAGGACCTCACGTGTCACCCGAAACCTCCTAGCTTTGCCCGACAGGAGGAGGAGTGCTCCCACCCTCTGGCAGAGGCCACACGAGGTGAGGGGCTCTGGCCACGCATGCCGACCTCAGTCTCCAGGCCCGTGGGGGTTGGCCTCTCAGGGCTGTCCCTGAGGGCAGTCTCTGGACCCCCGGGGTCCCAGGGGTGCTCTGTGGCTGGCAGGAGTCCGTCGCTGGCCCTGGAGCCCCACTGGCCCCCGCACTTACCGTTGCCTCTGGGGAGGGGGACTCCAGAGAGGGCCTCCAGCACGGAGCTCTTGCCCGAGCTCTGGTCCCCGATGACGGCGATGGCGGGCAGCGCCAGGTCCTGCTCCACGCCCAGGGCCCGCAGGGAGTCGATGAGGTCGATGCACGGGCGCACCCTCTCCTCGTACTGGGCGTACAGGTTGTTCTCAGGCCCCTGCGGACGGGAACGCACGGCACCACGGTCGGGAGTCTTGGTACAAGTAGGGCGGCCACCATCGACGGTGGCTGTGGACAGGAGGTGCGGGGGGCACAGGGGACGGGTCTCGGGGGTCCTGGGTTCTGGCAGCAGGTGGAGGTGGGGGTTGCCTCCTGGAGGAGGGGCTGGGCAGAGCAGGAGAGGAGCCCTCAGCCAGGAGAGGTACAGGGCCGGGGGGTGGCAGGCTGGTGGGGAGCCGGGCCACCGGTATGGAGCGCCAGCACACGGGACAGAAGTCCCAGGCCCCCCCCAGAGGCGCAGTGCTGCCGCAGCCCCAGCTGGGTATCTGGCGTTTGCTGGGTGTGAGCAGGGTCCCAGGGGGCCGCGGCCGTGCAGTGCCGCGGGGAGGCCTGCGTCGTATCCCCGGGGCGGGCTGGGGCCTGAACAACTTCTCTCCGACTGACCTTGGCCTTCGAGGCCTGCTGCTCGACCAGGCTCAGAAAGTTGAAGTCCTTGGGGAGCGAAGTGGGGTCCGCCCTTCCCGCCAGCCATTCGGGGGGTGCCGGCCATTCCTTCGGCCCCACGACACACGGCGGGGACTTTTGCAGTGAGAAGCTCATTTCTTCTTTGAGGCAGAAACGGGAGGAAAACGACTTTTGCTTCTGCAGCCGGTTCCTGTGTGCTCTGGACATTCAGCTGTCTTCGTCACCGCTGGTGGGGGCCCGCCCCACGTCTGAAGAGCGCTGCAGAGACACAGGTGGGACAGCGGCCCCCGTGTCACCGGAAGTCGGCCTCAGCCGTCCGCTCAGCCTTCCCCCCATGCAGGTGGAGAGGCCAGGAGCAGTCCCTGTCGCCAGGACGGGTCTTGGTAGCCCCAAGCCCACATGGGGGATGGGGCAGTGACTCTACACTGCCCAGGAGGGCCCCACTGCCACTTTGCAAGGGCCACGTCACGGCTGGCATCAGCCCTCTGTGGCTTGGGGTGGTGGTGGGGGGACAGCAGGTAGCCCCACTAGGGCCTGCCACCCTGTGGTCAGCTTCACATCAGGGCGCAGGCTGGCTGCCGTGGGCTCTGGCCCCCCCGTGTCTCCGTGGGTGGTGTTGTCATCACTGTGGAACACAGCCCGTGGCCCTGAGGGCTGGATTCCCTCTGTATGCCACCGGGACCCCCAGGGGGCAGCCACAGCCAGCCAGTGCCTCTGTCCAGGGCCCCCACTCTGACTGCCACAGCCCACCCCTCTCCAGCAGCCAGCCGCGTGGCTCTAGGGGGCTGGATGGCACCCGCCCCCTCCAAGCACAGTCCACCTCCTTGGGATGCGAGCGGGAGAAAGCTTTCCTGTTTAGAGGCCTGAGGGATCCTTCCGGGCCGGCCCCTGCAGGGGCAGCTTGGCCACTGGCACCTGCGCCCTGTGGCCCGTCTCCTGGGAGCTGAGCCACTCCCTCTGCTTACGGCCAGGGCAGAAGCAGCTCCCGCCCCCTCTGGGGCTGATGTGCACCGCATCCTGGCAGAACCCTGGGTGTGACCTACGCCGGCCAGCACCCGCGTTTCCTCTTACGACTGAAAGGCAACCACAGTTCAGTTTAGCAGGAACTCCTGAGTCAGGAACGCCCAAGTTCAAGGTCACAGCTGGGCCTAAGGCAGTGCTTAGGTTAGATAGGACACGCAGAAGGCTCTCCTTTGTAAATTGAAAAAGGCACAACCTGTGCAGGAAACGCAGTCGTGGTCCTGTCCCAAGTTCTCCATCGCCTAACGCGAGATTTAATCCCGAGTGAACTCACTGCGTGGACCCAGGGCTCTGCTGCTTTTAACTGCCCCACCCCCACGCCCTGTCATCTGTCGCCGCTCTCAGGCCTCCAGTCTCTTCCGAATGCAGCCACGACTTTCCAAACCAGGGGACGGAGCCTGCGGTCTTCCCTCCTGGCTAAAGGAGGGGAAGGAGGAAGCTTCCGGAAGTCACAGGGGGCGGAGAGGGGGCTGCCTGCCAGCTGCTCTCACACCACAGTGGGTGTGAGTGGGCTTGCGTGGTCAGCCCCGGCGGAGCAGGACGGCTGACAAGGGGACGCCAGGTCCAGCATGGTCCCCACGAGGCACGGTGGTCCTGGCCCTGGCTCGGAACACTGCAGAGGGGGTCAGGGGCTGCAGGCCTGGAGCAGTGCCCATTCCCGAGGGCAGGATGCCTCTCCAAACCCCGGCGGCCACCGGCAATGGGCCCCGTGTCTGCACTGCCCGGGCAGTGGTGGGCAGCTTTCCCACCGTGGGCTGCACCGGCCCTGCCCTAATCGCAGACAGTCCCTCTCTGCCGGCCTGGGCCTGCTCAGAGGCCGGGCCATTCTACGGGTTCCCGAGGGGCTCCCTGCTGCGTCTCGGCCTCCCCAGAGCCGAGCCTCCCCTCCCCTCTGCAGAAAGGGGAGCTCCCGGGTGAAACCCACAACTGCCCGGCACCTGCACTCCCTGGGGAAGCAGTGGGATGCGCCGGGCTGTGCAGGCCCGAGGGCTCGGCGCTATGCACCGCCCCCTGAATGCGAGGTAAAGGGGTGAAAACGTGCAGGGGTGTGTGAAGGCTGAGGCAGGGGTGAGTGGGGCGGCCTCTGGGAGAAAGACGCCCCCCACACCCCGCCCCTGCTGCGTTTTAGAGAGGACACCGTCACAGAGGCTGCTGGGTAAGGCAGGCAGGGGTCAGCTGTGTGGCCTGAGCCTGGAGAGCCACCTGTCCCCCCGCTGCAGCCCGCAGGGTCTCCCAGGAGACAAGCAGGAGCCGGGTGACATGGAGAGGGAGAACAGGGGCCACACTGAGCCGCGAGGCAAGGGAAGGTGGGAGGCGGGGACGGGGGTCCCCCAGCCCTGCTCTGTCTGAGAGCGAGCCAGGGCCCGAAGGCCTTGGAATCCCGCAGTCCCTGCTCTGTGGCGGCGTCGCCAGCGCGGACATACAAGTGCGGGGGGCCACGGGCAGCCTGCGGAGCGAGCCCAGGGCTGCACACAGACAGGAAGTGAAAGCGGAGTGTGTGTGTGTGTGCATGTGTGTGTGCGCGTGTGTGCATGTGCACGTGTGTGCACGTGTGTGCATGCATGTGCACATGTGTGTGCATGTGTGTGTACTTGTGTGCGTGTGTGCATGTGTGCATGTGCATGCACGTGTGTGCATGCGTGTATGTGTGTGCACATGTGTGCATGCGTGTGCGTGTGTGTATGTGCACGCGTGTATGTGTGTGCGTGCGTGTGCGTGTGTGCGCGTTCATGTGTGTGTGCATGTGCATGTGTACTTTGTGTGCGTGCATGTGTGTGCGTGTGCGTATATGTGTGTGCGTGTGTGCATGCATGTGTGTGCATGCGTGTATGTGTGTGCGTGTATGTGTGTGCGCATGCATATGCGTGTGTATGCGTGCGTGTGCGTGTGTGCACGTGCGTATATGTGTGTGCATGTGTGTGCGCGTGTGTGCGCGTGCGTGTTTGTGTGTGTGTGCGTGTGTGCGCGTTCATGTGTGTGTGCATGTGCAGGTGTACTTTGTGTGTGTGCACGTGCGTATATGTGTGTGCATGAGTGTGTGTGTGCGCGTGTGTGCACACAGGATTCCGGGGGGGCAGCGAGGCCTCAGCAAAGGCGAGTGGAGAAGGCGAGCCAGCAGGGCTGCTGCCGGCCACGGGGTTCCAGCGCGAGCCGTGGAGGCCTGGGTCGGTCGGGCTCCACGCGCGGCAGCTGGGAGCGCAGGGAGCCGCGGAGGCTGTCCAGGGCAGCCCGGAGGGGGGCCCGGGGAGGAGGAGCTTACGTTTCGGAAACTCAGAGTGGGGTCCAGGGGCGGGTGGGGGCCCTCCTTGCCACGCGAGGGCTCCTGGAAGGTCCCGTCCTTGGAAGCCCCAGCGAGGGGTTACTGGCGCCCCCGAGGGCTGCTCTGCGCGCGAGGGGTTACTGGCGCCCCCGAGGGCTGCCCTGCTCTCCCTGCGGGAGCTCGGCTGCGGCACCGCCGGCACTGCCGCGCAGTCCGGGCCCTGGACAGACTGCGCTTGCGCAACAGCCACCTCGCATTCCCGGGCCGAGAGAAGACATCTCGCGAGGAAGTCCTCTGCTCTTTTAGGTTTGTTTTTTGTTTGTTTGTTTGTTTGTTTTTGCATCAAATTGCCCTCGAGGACGGGTCCCTGCACCCACGCCCTGGGCCCATCCTGCTGGACCACACTGGCCCCGCGGCCTCAGAGCACCGGGCAGCTGACCACACATGGCCTTACTCCCTAGAAGGCCACCTTTTGTCGTCCTGGGGGTGAGGACTTGGCCGTGAGAGCTGGGAGACACTATCCGCCCGCAGCCGGTGAATCTGAACAGGAAGTAGCACAGCAAGAAAGAAACCCCCGGGCTCCTGCCTGCTGTCCATTCCTGGGAGGCCATGCCTGGTCAGTGCGCCGCTGGCTCTTTCCTCTTCCACCAGGGGGCGCCAGGCCTCGTCACGTGTGTGTTGCCACAAGGGCTGGGAAAAAATGCAAAGCCTACAGAGGAGCGATTGCCCAACGCGGGCTTCCAGGCAGTTTTGCAGCTCCTAAAGCTGCCGCAAAGTGACGTCCCTGGCTCCAGGCACAACCCTGGACAGCATGTCCTGCTGGCCTGAGGTCCAGAGGGGGGGCCGCCAGGGCCGGGCCGCGGCAGAGACTGGCAGAGGTGGGAGGGGATTTCCGACCCTGCCCACGGGGCAGGACTTCCTGCTCCTGGAAGGCTTTGGCTCCCAGCCTCCCCCCAGTTCTCCAGACATCGGGGGAAGCGGGAGGGGGCAGGGACACTTGCTGGACCCTGAACAAAGCTGTGCCACGGAGGGCGGTTGCAGCCCAGCCCCGGGATGGAACCCTTCCTCCAGGGCTCCCTCGGCCTGAAGCTGACATCTTCCTCAGGACCTGTGTGCCGAGGACACCTGCCCGGCTGAGCATGGCCACCAGGATGAAGGTGGCCCTGACATCTGGGGAGGCTGGGAAAGGCTCAGGGGGGAGGGACGAGGCAGAGGCTGCTGCCCGCACGGCTGGCTGGGCTACGGCCTCCACGTCGCCCCCAAACTGTCCCGGGCACCAGGGCTTTGGCCGCTCTGCTGTTGGCGCCAGCCCCAGCCCCGGCCCCAGGAGCGACTGGCGGCTCAGAGGACCTCCCCTCCCAGGCCCCGGGGACCCAGCAGGCAAGGGCTCTTGGGTGCTGACATTTGAGGGCCGAGGAACGGCGCATTTGCACAAAGCCCGATGACGAGTCCCGTCCCTGGTGAGGGAGTCCTAGGTGCGGCTGGGACAGAGGCGAGGAGCCCTGGTCCTCCCAGTTCACGGCAGGCAGGGGCTCACCGTGGGGGTGACCGGCATTTCACACCAGTGTCAGGGTCCCGACACCTCTTTCCGCCCAGCAGCACGGGACACAGCCATGTGCACCTGCTCACCCGGGCGGTCCTGGGCTCCCACTAGCCGAGGAGCACTCAACGAGGGAAACAGGGACAAGCCAGAAACCCGGTCTGCCCCAACCCCCGGGCCAGGCACCCTGCAGATGGGAGGGGCCTCTGAAGACCCCCCTGGCTTTGAGGACTAAAGACCCCTCCCAGCCCAGCACCCTGCAAGCCACCCCGTGGTGTCCCGGAGCAGGCCACTTCCCTCGGGAAGCTGCTGTCTGCATGCCGGCACCCACACAGGCAGTGACAGCCACCCTCGTCTGTGGCTTCTGCCTTCTGGCCCAGGCGTTGACGGGGCACAGTCCTGTCACTCAGACGCACCTGCTGCCTGTCCTGTGTGCGGCACCCTCCCCGGGCCGGCCAGCTCTTACCTTTGCAGGCTCAGGATGGACAGAGAGCAGGCAGTACCCCCCCCTCCCCTCCCGGGCTTCCTTTTTACATGCTGTGGTGGCCACGCCCCATGCCCTGCCCTGTCTCCAACAAACAGAAATGAAACCAAGCACTCCCCGCAGAAATGAAACTGAGTGAGCCACAGACTCCGGCTGAGCTCACACAGGGGCTGGTGAGCATCCAGGGCGGTGGGTTGTGAACACAGGGGCAGCCCTGGGGGGGGCCAGGAGCTGCCAGAGGGTCCCCGGGGAAGTGGGGTGGGGCTGCACCCGGCGAGCTGAGGTCCAGCGCCGTCCACGCAGCAGCTGAGCGCATGAGAGGGGATGCTGGGATTCCCCGTGACTCTTCATTTAAACTGACACGTGCATTGCCGTAGCAGACTGCGCCGGTGTGGCCCTGCCACGCTCGGGGCCGCGTTGGGACCTCCTCTCTCCCCCGCGAGGAGTGCAGCTGCACAGACAGCTGAGGACAGCTGCCCGCCAGCCCCGCTTCGTCAGGACGCTGTCCTGCGGGGAGGCAGAAGGCTGCTGGGGACACACGCCAGGCTCAGAACCGGCCCTGAGCCCGTCACCGGCTCTGCGGCCCAACCACATGGTATTTATGGTTCTTCATTACCCCACCCACAAAACCTGCTCAGCCTGGGCCCCGCCTGCGACGCCAGCATCCCATACAGGAGCGCTGGTTCCAGTGCCGGCTGCTCTGCTTCCGGTCCAGCTCCCTGCTCATGGCCTGGGAAGGCAGTGGGAGGTGGCCCAAGTGCTCGGGCCCCTGCACCCACGTGGGAGACCCGGATGGAGTTCCTGGCTCCTGGCTTCAGCCATCTGGGGCGTGAACTAACAGGTGAAAGATCAATTTCTCTCTCCCTCTTGCAAATAAATAAATCTGTAAAAACATGAAGCTCGACCAAGCTGTCCCCGAGGCCCCAGCCCCGTGACCCCAGCAGAGCCAAGAGGTAGAACGAGGTATGCACGCTGTCGCGGGTCACTCGGGGTAGCGCCACTGCCCTGCCAAAGCCGTGTGCACAGGCAGGGGACCGACGGCAGGAGAACCGAGATCCAGGAGAGACGCACAGCCCAGGCCGGAGCCGGGGACGAGGGGTGCGAGGTCGTTGGTGTTAGGGTGGGAGCTTCCAGGCCCAGCAGATGTGCAGCCGCAGGCAGCGCCGTGGGTACAGGTGACATCTTCCATCCACTGGTTCACTCCCAAAATGGCTGCAACAGCCAGGGCTGGGCCCGGCCGGAGCCAGGAGCTTCTTCCAGGTCTCCCACGTGCGTGCAGGGGCCCAAGCACTTGGGCCATCTTCCACTGCCCTCCCAGGCGCTTTAGCAGGGAGCTGGATTAGAAGTGGAGCAGCCGGGGCTGGAACCGGCGCCCATACGGGACACTGGTGTCACAGGTGGCTTAACCTGCTACACCACAGCGCCAGTCCCTCAACATTCCCTCAAACTTCGCTGTCACTCCTGTCCTGTCTAAACGACAGCCTAGGGCCCTGCGTGCAGGGAGAGCTACAGGGGGGCTGCAGAGGGCCAGGGGGCCCAGGCTGGCCCAGGATGGGAGGGCAGATCCTGGCCTCTCCCCTACGACGCATGAAGATCAACAATGGGCTGAGAACACGCGTGTCAGCCAGAGGGACATGCGCGCCTCCCTCGTTCACAGCACTGCCCGTGGGTGCCCAGCAGTCCAGAGCCTGCAGGGGCCGGCGGTCATTTGCAGGGCAGCGTAACAAGGAACGCACGCGCACGCAGGGGTTTCGGCAGCAGGTGTTGGCTGGGCTGGGCCCCTCGGAGGGGGAGGGCTCGAGGAGAACGGCTCCCGGCCTGCCCCGCCCCCACCAGGCCGTGCCTGTGCCTCTCTGGGGCTCAGCTGGTGGCGATGGAGGAAGGTGGCTTCTTCCCCGAGGAGGGGCTGCCGGGGACTGCGGCATCCTTGGTGACAGCAGAATTAAGGTTTGCTCGCTGCAGAGGCCCTGCAGCTCGGGTCAGCCCTGACCACGGCGCAGCCGCACCTGCCCGAGCAGCGGTGGCTCCCCCAAGCCTCCCTGTCCTGCTACATCACGGCTTCCCCTTCAACCACTTCCAGTCATTGCCATCTCCCTGCTCGCGGCCATCTGGCGTCACTCCGTAACCACCGGGGGGGGGGGGGGAATACCGCGCCAGGTCACGCTGCAGCCGAGACACCTGCCTCCCCTCCCAGAGTGCTGGTTCGCATCCCGCCGCCTCCACTTCCATCCAGTCTCCTGCTGATGTGCTGGGAAGCCAGCAGACAAAGCCCGAGGACTTGGGTCCCCGACTCCCACGTGGGAGACCCAGAGGGAGGTCTGGGCTCCTGGCTTCAGCCTGGCACACCCTGGCTGCTGTGAGCGCTTGGCGAGTGAACCAGCGGATGGGAGGTTCTCTTTTTCTCTCTCTTCTTCTGTCACTCTACCCTTAAAATAAGTAAATAAAGCTTAAAAATAACGTGGACCATGATTTTATACAACCAGCAAATGTTCTTTGGTCTACAACAAGCCCAGAGTGTCATCAAATATCGGCGAGTGGGTAAGGTCCTTGGGCCGCGCCAGCCGCGTTCGTCTGTACAAGTCGAGCAGGAAGGGCCCCGGCGCGTCAGCTCAGCCCTCTGGGCACACAGCCCTCTATCTGGATCTCCGCCGGCCAGCCCGAGTATCTGTTCTTCGAGTTGTCGGAGTGGTTGATCTGTGAGAAGAAAGAGAGCTCATTCATTCGCTGAGCTGAGCCACAAACACGCTCCAGGCACTGTGCACCCAGCGCTACGGACAGGACCACTCCCAGAGCGAGACGCTCCGCCTAAGGTGGGCGTCGGCTCTCCTCTGAGCAGGTATCCTGCGGCTCTGGACTGTCTGCATGATGGAACATCCTGTGATCCGTCAGACCACAGAGCAGCCACAGGCCACAGGCCACGCTTGGCCACGCTTGGCCACGCGTGCTCCAGGGGCGAGCTCAGCTGTCCCGCACCTTCTGCATTTCAACACATCTAATAGAAGCACAAATCTGGCTGGCGGCTCCCGAGCTGACGGCGCAGCGCGAACGCATGCAAGTCCTCGACTCCGCCCATCTCCACGGCTCTGTGGGTGCCTGGTCCTTGAACTTCCACATGGATTTTGGGTAACTGCCTGTTTCTATGGAGACACTTCAGTCTCCCAGTTCTTCCCCGTGCCTGATGCTGCAGTGTGTGATACGCTTCCCCACTTTGGAATTCTACTTAAACATCCCCTTTTATGCTTTTTTGAATTTTCTTATTTATTTGAAACAGTTTTAGAGAGAGGTAGAGACAGAGAGAGAGGTCTTCTATCCGCTCGTTCACTCCCCTGATGGCTGCAACAGCCAGAGCTGCGCCGATCCAAAGCCAGGAGCCAGGAGCTTTTTCCAGGTCTCCCACGTGGGTGCCGGGGCCCAAGGACCTGGGCCATCCTCTACTGCTTTCCCAGGCCACAGCAGAGAGCTGGATCGGAAGAGGAGCAGCCGGGACTTGAACCTGCACCCATACGGGATACCGGCACTGCAGGCCAGGGATTTAACCCGCTGTGCCGCAGCGCTGGCCCCGACCCTTCTATGTTCTACTGCAGCGTAGGCGACACACTAGAGAATCCGCCCGCTTGAGGTGCAAGGTCTAACGGTTCCCAGGGCTGTGCAGCCAGCACCGCAGCCGACTGTGCCAGCACCGGAGCAAGCGGCCCCCGCCCCAGCCAGCCACCAAGCCCGGCTCTGCGTTTGCTCGTTCCTGACATTTCACAGCAATGCAGGTGTGCAACAGGTGGGCACTGTGGGCTTTCTCCCACTTGGCACCGTGGGTTTTTTTGACAGGCAGAGTGGACACTGAGAGAGAGAGAGACAGAGAGAAAGGTCTTCCTTTGCCGTTGGTTCACCCTGCAATGGCCGCTACAGCCAGCACGCTGCGCCGATCTGAAGCCAGGAGCCAGGTGCTTCTCCTGGTCTCCCATGCGGGTGCAGGGCCCAAGCTGGACTGGAAGAGGAGCAACCAGGACAGAATCCGGCGCCCCGAGCAGGACTAGAACCCGGGGTGCCAGCGCCGCAGGCGGAGGATTAGCCTAGTGAGCTGTGGTGCCGGTCGGCACCGTGTCTTTAAGGTCCATCCGTGTTGGCGCACGTCCCAGAATTTCAGTTCTGTGCACGGCTGAGTAACACTCCACTGCAGGGCTGTACCCATTTCATTCACGGCTCTCGATCCACCTGTTGGCCATCTGGGCTGGCTCACTCTGGCTGTTTGTGCGTGGAGACGTGCACTTTCTCGCGGGCACACGCCTGCAGGAGTCATCGTCTGTTTGCAGTGTGTGGGACTGCGGGCTGGGTCCCCGTGCACCTGCATCGGATGGTGTCGCCTGCCACAGGGAGGCGGGTTCCATCCGTGCACACGCTCAGAGGCTTCGAGGTATCCGTCCCTGTTGACCTCGGCGTCCTGCTGAGCGAGCAGCGCCTGCGGCTCTGAGCTGCACCCCGAGGACACTGCTGCTGTGCGTCTTCTCGCGCGCCTGCTGCTGGCCGTCTGCATCCATTCAGATCCTCTGTCAGGCTGAGTATGAGCTCTTCATAGATTTTCAGTACAAAATCCAGAATGTTTGCAAATATTCTCTCCCACGTTGTGGGTCATTTTTTCACTTTCTTTTTTCAAAAAAAAAGATTTACTTTATTTGAAAGGCAGAGTTGCAGAAAGAGACCGAGAGATCTTCTATTCACTGGTTCGCTCCCAAAATGGCCACGACAGCCAGGGCTGGGCCAGGCTGAAGCCAGGAGCCAGCAGCTTCTTCCAGGATCTCCCACGTGGGTGCAGGCACCCAGGCACTTGGGCCATCTTCCACTGCTTTCCCAGGAGCATTAGCAGAGAGTTGGATCAGAAGTGGAGCAGCTGGGACATGAACTGGCGCCCACATGGCATGCCGGCATCACGGGCTGTGGTTTTACCCGCTACACCACAGCGCCGCCCCTCCACTGTGTCTTGATCAATGTCACTTCTCAGAAAGTTCAGGAATTGGGACACGGCAGTCAGGAAACTGCTCTTCTC